TCATTGTGCGTCAGGTTAGAGCGTGCTGGGAATATTTTGAATGTGTAAACTCGGGGAAGTTCCATAGTTGCGAACATGGAGCCATGCCAAGGCGTGGACGTGTTGAGACGTAAGATGCATGCTTTTTATGATCTCTTCAGTTTGTTAACTTCTCAAGGTTATCAAATAGTGGGAAGGTCGATGCCCGGGGAAACTCCAGGGTCCCAGTGTCCCGCCAAGTGGCTCCATCATTTCTTGTGCTGCAAACTGGGGATATCCGCCCAGCGCTTCTCGAGACCGAAACACACCGTCTTCCCTTTGGCTGGGATACTGATTGTTCTGACTAGAGCTTTCGTAGTCAGTCCTTGCGGCCCAATTCCGGGATGTCTGCGGAAATTAGCCGACGACCACTTCGTTTCACGCCCATTATAATTCGTCGACGATGAGCAGGGGGGCGGGGGGGGGGGGGCAAATAATGGAAACACTAGGAAATAGAGAAATAGAATTTGTTTGTATTGGCTATATTGTAAGAACTTCAGTTGGCAACACTGAACGTTCTTCTGTTTGTTTACGCTCTGTAGTGCTCGTGTAAGTCCAATAATGATTGTGCTCAGTGACTGTCCGTGTAAAAGAATCGGAAAATGGGAGACTTGTCCGTTTTTGAAAGAGGACATCGATGGTGCGCGTTTAGCTGGAGCATCTGATATTAAAATCTTCCACATTAGTTGCACCGAGAGCGACAGTTTCTGAGGTTATGTCGGCGTACACGGATCATGGGAAGACAGCGTCAGGCAAGAGGAACAGTGGGCGAAAATCAATACCGACAGAAGGAGATCATTGTAAATGAGGAGGATTGTTCCGAAAAATCACAAAACTACTGCAGCACAGGTGAACATCAGAACTGACTATTCATCTGGAAAACCCAGTTTCCACAAAAACTGCCAGACGTGGGCATGACAGACCCAGCATCCACGGTAGCGGAAGGGCTGCGATTACTGAAAGTATAATGCTCAGATGTGTGAATGGTGCCACTACGAGAGCACCGCGACCTCCAGACAACTGTAAACGCGTGCGTGTGTCGTCCTTCACACCAGGAAGAGTTTACGTTTGGAGAACGCCCAAGGAAGTCTGCAGTCCGGAATATCTGGGTCGGTTCCACCAATGAAACACTGGGGAAGTTCTGTGGTGGTTTGCGCAGCCATATCGTGGTACAGTGTTCTGTTGGCCTCGTTACTGCAAGGGAGTACGTGGACTGGTTGGGTAATCAGGTGCATCCCATGGTCCAGACGTTATTTCCCGCCCATTCACATGGTTTGAAGAGCAAGAAGGTGAACTTCAACATCTTCCCTGGCCAACACAATCTCCAGATTTGAACATCATTGAACCACTCTGGTCAGTTTTGGAGACTAGAGTGAGGAACAGGTTCCCACTTCCAACGTCTCTGAAGCAACTTGAAGATCTTCTTCAAGAAGAACGGTATAAAATTGCGTTAGAGACCGCTCAACACTTGTACACGAATCCATTGCAAGGACTGCGGTTGTACTGAAGGCAGAAGGTGGCCCAGCACCATATTAATAAAGAATTGTGTACAGTGTCTGTAGTGTTGCCATTATTTTCCCAAGCCTCTGTATGTAGTGTACATCTTAACGAAACCGTTAGTAGCTCAGACTATACGTATAGCGTCGAATGGAGGATACTGAAGGAAGCGGCTGTGGCCTAATTTCAGGCGCCACCCTGGAATCCATCTGGAGAAACTTGGGAACCACGGAAATCATCAGAGTAATCGAACTGTTGGTCGATAGTCGAATCGGATCCCTCGTGGAGCCGACTTGCACGGTATTTCAAAATGGCTGATGTGTTTACGAGGGGAGAGAACGTGTTTTAGGAAGAGAACTGTGTTCGGGTTTGTGATCCCGTGTAGTATTTTGGGTCACATCCCAGAGTGTAATATGAATGTTCACCACTGCGGAAGTCATAGTGGGGCAAATGAATGAAGCTCGATCGCTGCCTGAAGGCTCCAGCCGTGTGGGCCCCTTTTGCCATCGGTAGAAGGTTCACAGTTGTTTACAAACACAAAAGTGAGATTTGAGGTTCTCCCTATGCAGACTGAGAAGCACTGTCTTCTGGTATGTGACGCCATGAACATGCTGCCCCAGTTTCACATTGTAGATGGAGACAGTATGCGTCTTCGAAAATTCGTTGTATATACCACAATATACGACGTCATGCCAGGAAGCCAGTTTTCATAGGTCAAAGTTCATGTTTCAACGTTGTTGAACGACCTTTAATTTTAATTAGCCCAGCAATTTGCCAGACTGCGCAATTTTCGGTGATGGTAACACAATAAACCATGAAAGAAACGCCGTTTGTTTAGCTGCAGGCGTATCCAGGGGCCCCAGCACCGGCGCAGAAGCATCACGCGTTGTCAGACGTAAACTGTAAGTTTGAAACGATGGAGGTTGAACCATAAGCTACCCATTTCGTGGCCAGAGAATGGATAATTAAGCCTGTTTGACTTAAAACTCGTATCCGTGTATATTTTACATAAACGACGGATAATAATTCCAAAGCGAAGAAAAATATCCAGTTTTCTAATCAGCCGCTGTAAGACGTGCTTTACTTTACTTTAACAATGAACTGAACAATGTAGAAATCGGAATATCGTATCGATCTTGCAAGACATTGTTTTGTTACCGGAAGAGTGGCTCGAGAGAGCGCGCCAAACGTTCAGCTCCACTCTGAAACGATCTCCGGAGGTTGTACGACTTTGCTGTGGCCTTGAAGTGCCAGTAGGCCTGATGGAACCGTCTCGAAAATCGTGTGTCAGAGTTCTCTTCGGCTTTCCACATTGTGTCCTCTGTAGCGAGATGAACGACTGTCAGTTTCGTACGAAGACCGTGCAATTAGTGTGTCACCGCCTCAGAACTGTAGAAATGAATCAGGTAGTTGCCAGTCACATCCGTAGATAAGTATGCCTTGGGAGAGTGAACAGCCACACATCACTGCATCGGCCATAGATACAGGTGGGTGGTCAGCTTCCCTGCCGCGTTACCTCCGGCGAAGGAGCCTCCACCTGAACCTGCTTGACGTCAGGCGGGGTACCCAAAAAACCAAAACCCAATTGTTATGAGTAATGCCATTCTGCATTACTTGTACTCTTCTGCAAGGATAATTAGATTGTTCAAGTCAGTGAGGATGAGATGGGCAGGCCATGTTGCACGCGCGGGGGAGAAGAGGAATGCATATATAGGGATATCGGTAGGAAAGCCAGAAAGGGACTACTAGAAATACCAAGGCGTAGATGGGTGGATAATATTAAAATGGATCTTAGAGAGACAGGATGGGGGGGTGTGGACTGGATTGGTCAGGCTCAGGGTAGGAACCGGTGGTGGGCTCTTGTGAACATGGTACTGAGTCTTCGGGTTCCGTAGAACGCTGGGAAGTTCTTGAGTAGCTGCACACCTGGCGGCTTCTCAAGAAGGGCTGAGCTTCATGAAGTGAGTGTATCGCCGTGGGAAGCTCTGTATGCCCACTCCAACTTGTTTCGACACTGAGTCCCTGAGTGGGGTTCGAGTTTAATTTATTGCCATTTATTCCCCTGATACGCACACAAAATAACATCTCAGTTGCCAGGTATCGTTAAGTACTCATCGTCTTGCAGTACTGCAGTCTCTGTCGCGAAATGTTCCCGGTGTATTGTTGCTGTTCAGAATGGCGTGAACTTTTCCGTGGTTCATCATCAGTTTGCACTCCAGTCTTGTCGTCGGCTGTCGGTGTCTGTCGTTAGGAACACACGCAGAAATCTTGTTTTATTTGCTGTAATGTGTCTCACTTCAAATACACAGTTTGATAAAAGAATTGTATACCAGTACTGACGGTGTTGGCCTCGTGGTTTACCGCTGTTACTGCCCCCCCCCCCTTCGAATTTTGTTCTGAACAGATTTACCCTCTCGTGTTTCTGGTTCCATCTGCAGCTCTCTCCACTCATACCATCTCATTGTCACACTTCCGTCTGCCGCCATGACTGCCGCGCAGGCTGCTTTCGTAGCGCCGTTGTGGCGAGAATACCGTCTTGCTTATTTATACACGTCTTTTAAGCAGTGCTTTTTGCTCCTGCCACCACCAACACTGGGGCACGCTGCTACAAGCCGGAAGGTTGCGAGTTCTATTCCCCATGACGTCATTGGATTTTCCAGTTGGCCTAATGCTTCCAGCCGCACTATGGCCCTGGGGTTGCCTCATCCTCAGACAGAAGTGAGTACCAGGAATCTTCCTGGGGGTAAAGGGCGCCCGGCCGGCCGGCGCATAAGGCTGACAGCCTCACCGCCATCTATGAGCCTATTGTCTAGAAAATGTGGAAGCCTGGACGTCTCACAGCCCTGTGGGCCTCCACGGCCTGTTAGAGGGACAGCTTTACCCCTACTTAACTTTTACTATTACTACTGCTCTCGCCACCAAGTCTTCCTCCTCCTCCTCCAGGCCATGGTCGTACCAATGTTGTGATTCTCACTGTAGGGCATGCAGAACCCCTGCCATGTCATAATCTGATATACCAACTTCAGGCAAGACAGAAGAGTACAAATACAAATTCAAGCAAGTTCCTTATCACTATTTTATGAAATATATTATCTCTATTTTTGGGGTGTAGCTCTGTTTAGTATTTTCAAATTTTGGAATGTATCAGGCATGTTTTGAACCTTGAGGCTTGTCAACAAGGCGAAGTTTTAGTATTTTGAAATTTCAGAGTTTCAGGCATTAGGGTTTACCAACATTCGCATTAACATTATATTGTTGCATCAGAGTAGAATATGTAATATGTCACATTATTCAGCTTAAACTTTTCTTTCTCGTTGAAGATGGGCTCTATTTGTGTGCTTTATTAGATTTTGACCCTGAGGACAACTCTGATGGTTTTGTCACAAGCAGAGTTCTTTGGTTTTCAGAATCTTCATTGAATCTGAAAATAAACTCTGTCTGAAGGTTGTGTAACACGAAGTTTGAAGGTAAATGTCTCGTTACAGAGTTCCCACTGACTGGCTCAGACTCTAATCAGGTGACAATGGTGGAACACCTGCAGCAGAACGAGCAGGCCCAGGTGGCAAGTGTTGGTGGCCTGGTGTTTGAAGATGAGCAGCACAATACTCATACACTGCAGGCCCTCAACATGATGCGCAAGAACAGACACTTCTGTGATGTGATTCTGCATGTGAGTACCAGACCGTGGCATGCTACAGTTGCCTCGTGATACCCACGTACACACGCTGTAGGAAGCAATGTACAATGTTCTGGAGATTTCAGCAAGTTTTTTCTTCAGAAATTTGAGGTTGTTATAGCAGTGAATATGGATATCACTGGCATCCAGGGCGTGAATCAGTGTGAAGTTTGGTAGAAAAGTATCAAGAGTTTGAAGGATCCTTCTGTATCCATCTTCAGGTCATGAAGGTTGAGGAAGGCCATGTCTTCAGGATAGAACATCACGGAGGCATCAGGCTCTTCCAAAACATAGATTACACTAGAATTTATGCCAGGATGCATGGTGTCACATTCAGAAAGCAGTAATCTTCAGTGTTTGTTTGCTATTGCATAACATTTTCATTGAATTAAATTTTGGTATACCCAGAAAAATATTTAATGCTAATTAAAAAGGCATTCAAGCAAATACAGGTTAGTGGAAGAAAAAAGAATGGTTTGAAATAAAGATTAACTGGAAAAAGAAATTAATAGAAGAATAAAGACCATGTAGGTGAAGTCCTGATGTCAGATGTTGTCCTGTTAGGTTGGCAACATGGAGTTCCATGCTCATCGTGCAGTGTTAGCATGTGCCAGTCCACACTTATTTGAGCTCTTCACGGCTGATGATGAAAATAAGGGCAGCCAACGTGAAAATGTCATCACTTACAAGCTGAATGGAGGATATGACCGGACTGCATTAGAGAAGCTCATCCACTATGCCTACACTGCAAGGTATGTGTGTGCAACACTGGCTGCATAAATGGCAGGGTAGGATCCAGCTGTTGCATGCAAGAGTGAGTTCAGAACCAACTCCTCTGACATACAGTGATTTATATCCCTGTAAGATGATGACACCATAAAATGCTTTAAATTGACAATATTAGCGTCTCACAGATGACTGATTAGTTAGTTAGTTAATTAACTAAAGGCACACCAGCTGCTGTTGTTACAATGTAGCAGGGAACTGAAGTACACGTACATCTTCAGTTACCTATATCTAATGCTGAGGTTAAGAATGGTGGAGGTGAACCTCCACTCCCCCATATGTCTTCATGGCATGAAACTAAATTAATTAAGTACACAGAGAAACTTTACTTTTGCCTTTTGCTGATTGGTGTGATTTTTTGCAGGCTGGAAGTGAGTAACTCGCAGGTGAAGGCTGTTTATCTGGCAGCCTGCCACCTGAAGATGGATCGTGTGGTGAAAGAATGTACGAGACACTTCATCAAGAACCTCAGTGTTGAGAACTGCATTGAGACGCGCTCCCTCCCCGGGATTGCAAGAAACAAGGTGTTTGTTGATCAGGTGGACGCCTTCATTGCCAAGGAGGTATACAACTTTTTTTTTTACAGTGACTCCTGCTGTGAGGTTCTTCATTGGATTATTTTCTCAAAAAAAAAAGTGTGAGGCTGTGTATTGCTGGCAGCTGTGCAGGATAGTGAAATTGGAGGGGGGGGGGGCACATGCAGACCTCAGTGCAGTAACTACCTTATTTTATGAACTCAGGGGGAGACTAATGTAAAATTCAGGAATTTACAAATTTATAGAAATTGAAATTTATAACAGCATGAAGGTAGAAATTTATGGTGCAAAAGGTTACTTATACATTTAAAAATTTACCAGTTTATTTCATGATGGTATTAATAATTCCAGACTGGTCAGTGCTGACATAGAAGAACTTTTCATTCTGTGTGAAGTGTGGTACTTATTAAACCCATTCCCTGACATTCTTGTCAGCTTATCAGTTTAAATTTGCTGCCTGTCAGTGCTGATCCCATTGACTGATGGGCTGTTGCTGTCATGTGGGCGGATGTATTTTTTCCTGTAGATGTCACCCAAATAGATAGAAACTTCAATTGTAACTGGTTAAAGCTTAAAAGAATCTGAACATTCACTGATTTTAGGTTGCTTCTCACTTCAGAAATTAATAGTGAAAGTATCCCTGTTTACAAGGTTGCAGTTATAATTTAATCAGAATACTGTTGAAGAACGACAGGCACCCACAGAATGCTGTTCATTATGGGGGGGGNCTGCTCTGTATAACATTGAGTGTGAGGGTGATAGGTGATTCGTGAATTGGAAAGGACCTGGAAGGAAGTGGTCATGGCCTAATCAAAATACTAGAATTTTCCTGGAGAGGCTGAGGAGAACTATGGAGAACCTGTTAATAGGTGACTAGGATTTGAATCTGGAGCATTACCACTAGACCAGCCTGCTCAGTGCATCTGTTCTTTGCTGTAGTAGACACCTGCTTCTTCATAGATGTAGCCATGCATTGGTAGCCACTTCATAACTGACCTCCCCTTTGCTGTCAGTATGATTGTGAGCTGCGGCCACTCCATAACTTTGTTGTGGCCTGTGTAGTTGCTCAGGCTCACAGTCCTACTACTATGGACACTGTAGAAATTACCTCACTCTGCTGACCTTCCTGGTTATAATGACATGATGATAGAAACAGGAAGACAGGAGTGTGTGTGGGCTCCAGTAAGCTGTCACTTGCTTATGGAGAGAGTATCTCATGTAGGAGTGAAATGTAGTAACTGGTAGTCAGCATGAGTAGAGAAGAGGTTCAGTCTCAGGGCTTAAAGGACCTTGCTCAATCAGAGTGAATTACACACCAGGATAAGTAACACTGATTAGTTTATTTCACTCACTTTACATAACATTGTTGGGAGAATTAACAGTGTGAGAATCCACTTTAATATTATCACTCAGCAGTGGTAACAGTTTACATCACAGCTAATCGCTGTTATACTTGTGAAATAACTCATTTGTTGAATCATTACAATAATATATATATATATAGAAAAAAGATGGGAAGATATAAAACTATCCATATCTCAGGAGCACAGTTTTTGCGTCTATTCGGTTTAAGTTTAAGAATGTTTTTGGAAGGACATTGTCCTATGTAACCAGCTTCTGCAAACCATTACTTTCAGACAATGTTGCCTAATTATCTGGGTTGGCTCTCTTTAAATGTTGTGTTAATTTCTGCCAATGAAATTTAATTATCAAATAGTTATAATACTTTAAACCTGTAACAAGTTCTAACCATTAGCTTCTTGATTGGCTTGGTGTGGGTGAGTTATCAAGTGAACAGCTCACATCTACTGGCTTAGTCTCAGATTACAAATGGCTAATAGCCACCTTGAACTGCTGAATTCTAAGAATTAATATAGTAGTAATATCTTGTATTACAATATTACATATGAATGGGATTATGTGCTTTAATTATATCAATGTATGTCTGGATATTAATTAAAATAATTAACATACTCAGAAATAAGGTCTATATGAAATGAGCTGTTATAGCGCCTAGTCTTTGTTGTTCATGATGTAGAAAAGAATCAATCATTAGAGAGGCAAACTGGCTCACTGTACCTAAAAGCCAAAAACACATGCTTGCAATCTCCGGAAGTACCAGCAATGGCATCACTGCCAAAGAAGGCTACTGTTTTGTGGGATGTTACACTCTGTAATGGATAGGTAGATCCCAGCATTTTGGAGGAACCTGCAGCCTGTATTTTCAGGGTGTGCAAGGGAACAAGTTTTTCCAAAATAATGATACTTTTGCAGAGAGTATGATGTCACCTCCCAGAAGACAACAGTTTTCATATTCACCACCACAAGAACTTCTGATCTCTCTCTCTCTCTCTCACTCAAGTCAGAATGCTAGGTTCTGTGCACTAATATCTTTGGTGTGAAATGCAGAATGTCTGACTCAATGAATCACCAGGTCTTATTAAAAGTTTGTTTTGTGTTTAATTTACTGGGGATATCTTGTGATCTGAAAGTGTTTGTGAACCAGTAGCAGGGTGTTGTATGTATATGTAATTTTATTTTTTTTTGTTCAAATTGCATATTTTCAAAAATGTTATTACTGTTTTCAGTTTGAAAATGTATCCAAGTCAAAGATTCTTCTTTCTCTGCCTTGTGTGCGCATTGAAGTGTTGAACCAGACTCGCCAAGAGATGTCACTGGTGATAGGGGAATCAGTTTGTCAGCTTGTTCTTGAATGGATCAAGCGACAATGTGATGATGACGCTATTAACATGAACCAGCTAACAGAAAAGGTCAGTCTCAACATACAGGCTGGCTCAGTACTATAAATGTCCTAATTTTATGCATTGCATGTGCTGATATTCAAACAGCAGGCTTTTGTTAAGCTGGTTAATGAGTTTTGTTATGCAGTATGTCAATGATTTTTTTTTTTTTGCGTTTGTTTCTTCAGGCTTCTTTTGTTTTGAATCAGAGATTTTGTTTTGTCCAGTCAGTTGTGACTCATTTTCGATCACCAGTTTTGGATAAATTTTACTGAATTCCAGATTTTAAATCCAGAACCTCTGCTGCTTTCTTATCCCTCCAGTCTGGCCATTCTCAGAACCTTACTAGTCTGAATGTCAGTATATTGATGTGTGGTTGTTTTGTTTTGTTTAGACTCATCTCTTGTACCTGGCCATGGACAACTCGTTGCAGGACTGCACGGAGCTTCCGACTGGTGATGTGAGTGACACAGAAATTGTCCAAGATTACAAGAAACTGTCTAAACGGAATCAAGCAAACCCTAAGGTGAGAACTGAGCTGCAAGTCAAGGAGTCACCTTGCTGCTCACATACAGGTCCCCCCCCCCCACATTTAGAAATCTTACATCATTAAGTGTCATAACTAAATAAAGATATTGCACTTGACGTAATGTCATTAAACCTATGCATGCTACATGCTGGCTGGGATTGGGGTACTGGCATGGAAACTGCCTCAGTGAAAGAGATCAGATTGTTCATCAGTTGGTACTGCATTTCTGTCAATAGATGGCATCAGGTGTAGCACACCAGTGTCTTTAGGGAAGTCGTGGCTTTCACGTGAAATATGTCTCTTGTTTTAAGATCATTTGAGAAAAGCATAATGGTGTTTTCTGTATGAATGTATTTACCCCCATTGGAGTTTCTAACAGCCCTGTTGGTCTTGGCTCTCAAAGAATGAATCAAGTAGTTACAAGTTTGACTGCTTGTAGATGTTTAAGAATTGAGGAGGATATTAGTTATTTTTAAAAATGCAGGGTAGACGCAAGGGTCAGCTGCAGCCAGCTAAACCCCGGGTGCTTATTTACTCCCGAGATATCATTGAGCGAACCGAACAGGAGAAGGAGACAGACTGGAAGCTCATTGCAGCAGCAAAAGTTGGAGGTGAGTTAATCTTTATAGTACAAATCTGTTTTCATAAGTTATGTCACACAACTGTCAGAATGTTACATATATCATGAATAAATATGTTAAAATGATCATGTTTGTATTTGTCAAGTGCTTGGAAACCTTTGGACAGAGTGTGAAGCTATGATTATTGTTTGCAGGTTACCAGATTTCTTCATGTGATAATTAATGTGAAGTAATTTTTAAATATATATTGATGGATTATATAAGTACCCTGAAATTGTATGGTCAGTTTAAGGAGCGTTAGTTATGTACCAGGGGTTCCAAGCAGAATACATAAAGCCTGTTTCCATATTGCACACTCTTCTAGTTGCACAGATGGTTTATTGTTATATCATTATTATTTGTGAAGGCCTATGTATTCTATCTACATTACATTTTTTAACATAACTTAAGTTTCATACTATCGCCGTATTTGTAATTGTTGAGTTACTATATTTTATCATAATGTTTAGGTATGTTTATGATCTGTCTACCTACCAAATCTAATTTGCCTACAACTATTATGTTTCTGAACATTATTCAGTGTCCTGTTTGTATTTTAAAAAACGTTTCAGAGACTGTATCCTGTCAAGTAAATTCTACTCAGTTGGGCTGAATCTCTGTCTCCTGTCAAACTCTATTGATTAGGCCCAGCTGAGTAGGTTTTACCTGAAGACGGAGACAGAATCCAGCCTCGGAAATGTTCTGTTTTGAAATATGAACAGGACGATGGATAACATCCAGAGACATAATGTTTCTACTAATGTACCATCATCACAAACTTTTAGATCTTATTTCATTTGCCTATGTCCAGTCATTAGCTGTCACTGTGGAACAAAAGGTAAACATCTTTGCATGGTGGCCATGTTGTCTTACATTCAGCAGAAGAATTTCCTTAACCAAGAAATTAGATTTTCTGAATTTCTGTTAGTTTACATAATTTCAGGATCCTAAATTAATTGTTGTTATTGTCACTCCCACCTCACAAGTTTGTGTGTTCGCCATGTTGGTGTTGCAGAATATAGGAAATTGAGAAGGTTGGCATTGGGCTGGCCTTTGTTGAAATAATGTTTGTACCAAGCTCTTGGTAGGGCAGTCAAGTCACCTGGTTCAAAAGTTGAAATGGAAGGACACCCAAATGCACAAAATATTATAATCTTGCATTCGTCCCTTAACCCTTTCATGCTACAGGCTTAAATAAACATCTGTTGACAGGTTGGTTTATGTTAAGTTGTGTTATTTTTTTTATTGTTTCTTGGTCAGCACAGCACCCTTTATTAATTGTAACATGGTGAAAAAGAAATTTATATATACAGTAGACTCTCGATTATCCGCGCGCTGTTTAACNCCCTGACTGCAGGGTGCAGTTCTGCCAAATTGTGCTGTGCGAGATTTGGTTAGGTCACAGATATATGTGTATGTCCTCGGATGCTTTCTTATTTTAAATTAATGGGGGGATGGCATGGCACAGAAAAGTCCGAGAAAGGAAACTGCCAAAAAAAAGTCTAATACTTGTGTGGGTTTTATATTGTCGCGTATCGGGCGTATATCGCGACAAATAACTTCTCGATGTATTTTATATAGCGAATTTTATTTCACATTCGCTCATACAATCACCCAAATTACAGATTTACGATTACTGCTATCTGCAGTATCACGATTAGTACACTCCAAAAGCCAGAATACAACTGACTGGCTGACTCTACGTCTCGACTCGGCGGCTGTCACAGTACAACTCACTAGTACAACTCTTAGTACAACTCACTAGTCCAACTCAGTACAACTCAGTACAACTAACTGTGAATAGCCTTCGCTGCTCCCTATGTAGCCTCGATCGGACAATACGGGAAAACGGCCACGTAATAGGCACCCTTTTTGCTAGCCACGCTGTCCGGTTACGTCACTGCTGTTGATTCGCCTTGCACAGTTACCCGGTTACGGGGCTCGGCTATCTTCGGCTCCGCTCGGCTCTCTTCGGCTCCGCTCGTGACGTCACCGCGCATGGCTGCCAGGATGCGGGGTGATTACTCGCCTATTCCGCGAGCGTTACGTTACCGCTGAGGGGTGGGAGGGGTCAACATGTCACACTGCTCCCTCCTTAAGGCTGTTCNCATTTTTATATGGTTCCTGAAAATTGGCATTGATTTGTATTCAAGAGGGCCATATAATATGGCCACATCCATATTATGAAAATCTAAATCATAGCCATGACATTAAAAAATTAAGAATAGTATGGAAACTGCCCAAGGGGAAAGTAAAATGATAGATGATTATTCTGAGCTAAAGAAACTGATATAGCAAGATGATTATTTTGTTATGACGTTTCTAGAACACGCATTCATGGCTCTTGCAACGATCGATGGACGGCTGGCTACCATGTCTGTGATGCTTCGTCTGAACCAGCCGTCAAGCCCGTCTCCTGTTTTGACGCCAGTTGCCAGTCGCCCAGCCAGTGAAGAGAAGCCAGATCTCTACTGTGTGATGGCAAACATGAACTCTGTTAAATGTGCAGCCGGATGCGCAAATCTGAATGACTCACTTCTTGTTTGTGGTCAGTAATTTAAATATTAACATCTCACTGTAAACCTTTAGTGGCACTTTCCAGTGGATGTATATGCAAAATGGCTTTTATTGAATTTGTGTTAATGTTTATTGTCCAGGAGTTGGGGCTTCAGATCTTGTATTACAGAGTTGGTAACAGGAATTATGTTCCGGAATTAAGGTATATTATCCAGATTTTAAATCTTGTGGCCCTGCTGGGCTCTCAGCCGTGTTTGAGTTCAGGGGTTAATGGTGTTAGTATTGAAAGAATAGGGGCACGCAGTAGTGTAGTTGGTTAAGGCACTATGCTACAAGCCAGAAGGTAGAGGGTTCGAGGATTGATGAGGTGGATTTTTTCAATTGACCTAATCCTTCCAGCCGCACTATGACCCAGGGGTTGACTCAGCCTGTAACAGAAATGAATACCAGGAATCTATCTGGGGGTAAAGGTTGGCCGGAGCATAAGGCTGACAACCTTGCCTCCATCTGTGAGCCGATTGTCTAATAAATGTGGGAGCCTCGACGTCTCACAACCCCATGGGCCTTCACGGCCTGTTACAGGGATAGCTTATCTTTAGAATTGAAAGAATGGAATGTTTGGTCAGTTTGACTGTATTCTTGCATCTTTGCAGTATAGTAGCACAGTCGATGGAGGATAAACAGAATGTTGAATTCTTTGAGTAATTACAGATTATCATTTACTATATGTAGATAAACTTAAGTGGGGACATTTTTCATAACATCTAAATTCTTATTTGAACCAAACAAAACATAAATTCTCTCAGCAATTTATTATTCAAACTTTTTAGGCATGTTTCTAATAAAAGTATGTTAATACCTGTTATCGAGCCCCCTCCCTCTCCTTATTTCTCATTTTCTCCCTTCTTCTTGTCACTTCTCCATTCTACTCCTCTTCTCATGTTCCTTTTCTTTCTCTAGTACCACCGTCACAACTACTCCTGGCATCCCTTCCATTTTATACTAGCTGATGGACAAGAAGTTCCTGCAGTCTTCCCATCTCAGTTCATTATCATGTTATTCTGGTGGTGCTGTTGTCTGCTCCTGGTGCATTTAGTTTGGCTCTGTCAATGTTGCAGGTGGTTATGACCGGGCCGAGTGTCTCAAGTGTGTCGAGTTGTATGACCCAGACACTAATCTGTGGGGCACACTGTCCTCCATGAAGGAAGCTCGTGGCCGTTTTGACATTGCTGTAGTTAAGGGGAAAGTGTATGCCATTGGGGGAAGCAATGGGACAACTGAGCTTGCCACTGTTGAGAAGTATGACCCGCAAGAGAAGAAGTGGACTCAGATCACCCCCTTGCCTCTCGCAAGATGTAACATAGGCAAGTGCACTGTCTGTCAGCTTCCAGTAGTTAATGTTCGTGTAAACAAATTCAGTTATAATTTGGAGTTTTTTTTGTATGTGCTACTGGGAGAAGTAAAGAATACCCCATGCACTGTTGGCTTAGACGTAATAAAGCACATGTGTTTCAAAGTGTATTTTGTAGTTTATGAAGGCGGAAATGTGTAATTTGGGTTATAGCATAAGTGAATCCTTTGGAAGAACGATATTTATTCATTTTCTAAACTTACGATTGTGAGAGGGTTCTGCAGGCAGCCTTCAGGATGGAAACTCGTAGAAGTATCTTCCAAGACATCAGTGTTGCAAGTGAGGAGTTAACGTGGAACTGTATACGTATATGTGCTGATAGGACAACCTTGTTATTCAGAAACACGGAACACATGAGCAGCTCTCCTTTTCAGTATAGTGTTCGATGCATTTCTGTTTGTTTCATTTAGTTGTTGGGGCAGTTCTCGTATGCAGCTGGTTACATGGGTTAACTTCAAGGTGACTGTATGTTTATCCATAAATTTGGTTACGAAACACAGCCTTGTTATGATATATCGTTCTACATGTAACTGTGAGATGGAAGCTCTGAAATTGAGCAGTTTGAGGCTGCTGTAGCAACAGTTCTGTGAATGTGTGTAGTGTAGGAGCTCATAAATGAGTGAGCAGTCTTTTTGTTCCACTGTATAGGCCTGTTCTGTGATTATTGATGATAATGTGATATGAAGTGTTGTGTAACATGTAAAGTAGAGAGTTTACAGATTAGTATTTGTGTGCTATTTGAGGGGGATAGTGTTAAATATTGGCCTTAATGCGTGATTGAACAACTTGTAGGACTGGAGTGAAATATGAGAGAAAACAAGAGAAGTGAATGGTACAAAAACTTGTATAACAAATGGTTGGACTTCTGTTGAATTCTTTAGAGATGAATCATCATTGTTCCCTGACCAACCCCCCTTCCCATAGGGAACCCCTGATAGCCACTTTATGTGAGGCTGAAGGGGACCCCAGAACCAATAGAGAATAAAAAGATCCCTTTTCCCTGCCAGAAGTGCAACCCCTATTCCTTGGTTGTCTAGCCAATAGCATGGTCACTGTACTAATGGGGCTGTTTCAGCTGGGGGTGTCATGCTGTATGTAACGTGGGACAGTGGGACAGTTCTGTTAAAAGATTTTCGATTTTATGGAGGTAGTAAGAGAAAAGGGTGTTAAAGGAAGTGGCGTATAATACGTTTTGGTAAAGAACTAACCTCCTAGGCAAAGCTACCTAGAACTCCAGCCATTAATAGCCAAGATTTGAACCAAATAGCTCCCAAATGCACTCCTTCGTTTTTCAGTTTTTATACAGTTCTTAATATGAAATAAAATGATGGCCAACGTAAGTATCAATGTGACCTTCGTTATTGTTGCAAGTCTGTGTTTCATTGACTTAACAGTTGAATGATTTGTTGGAGCCCTTGTGGTTCAGTATTATATGATACACGTTTAAGCATTAACAGTGTTGTACTGAAGTGTATTCTAACTTTACTTCTCCCAGTGTCATCTGTATGAAGTGTGTGGAAGTTCTGCAGGTTCTGCTGTCATTCGAGCCCGGTGCTTGGACTCCATGAATAGTTGCTGTTACTGCATGAAATTGTCTTTCTTTCATGATTTCCATTGCGGAAATACAATTTGCTGCAAATAAAGAAGTGGTAATGAGTATGCAAATTTTCAAAGTGTCGTCATTCATTCATGCGTAGAGTAACTGAGTTGCGCGTTCGTGCAGATGCTTCTCTGGTTCCTTGCAAAAGTTAAAACTTGTTGAGGTATATATTTTAGTGAGTGCCAGTAAATCAGGGAATTATTTTTCACAGTGAACTTGAAAAATTTCAAAGATTACAGTGTTCCGGAATCGTGATGCCATTTAAATTGGTAGATAGGTTCCAACATTTCAGAGAATCTTGCTGGTTCTGTCTTTAGGGTAGAAAAGAGAATATACTTCTTCTGTTTTTCATAAGTGACATCAAGTACATTTCCCTCTGTTCATATGCACTCACTGTCATCAGCTGTGCCTTTGCTGCTGGCTGTTGTGTTACATAGAGCTATGCATTCTCATAGTTCAGTCTGCTGAGAACTGCTTTTCTTCAGGTTCTCAAGATGGTGACTGAAGATTGCTGTCTTCTGGAATGTGATGATGTATAGTCTGGTAGGAGTTTACCAGTGTTTTGGAGGAACATACTGCCTCCAACTTCAGGGTCAAAGAGTATGCCAGGCCATCAGCCAGCAAGAAGCAAACAGTAACTCTTCTGGCTTGCTTTGTTTATTCTTTGACCCTGAAGATGGAGGCAGTGTGTTCCTCCAGAACATAAGCAAACTTCTACCAGGCTACATGGTGTCACATCACAGAAGATGGTACTCCTCATTTGATTTAAATTTCAAACATGAATTTCTCTTCTCTTATATAGAATGTCATTGAGACTGGGGGAAGGGGAAAATTGTGAACTTAAGAACAATTTCATTGTGTATATCATGATCAGTTCTGGTTTCCAAGCACCAGTGGCTGTACCCATGAGAAGAGGATTGGGAGATGTAATGTATTTCAGGAGCATTTTCCACAGATGTGTAGCATTTAATGATGACAATCAGGAATGTGTTCTGTGAGAGTTCTGTTCCCAGATGTGTGTCAGCTCAGACAGACTGGCTGTAGATAGCAGTCAGGTAAGGCCTGCAACCAATTTCTTCATTCCATATCAATTGCCAAATATTTGAAATATATTGACACTTTGGTCCCGTAATACTGGTTTGGCACTTGATTCTGGTCTTTATGCCTCTATAGAATATATTTAAATTTCAGGATCCTTCAGCAAATGAGTTTGAATACGCTAGCATTAAAACATGTGTTTGTTTCCGATTTGCTTTTCAGCTTCACTTGTGTGTCAAGATGTCGGTTGAATGATGACCCTACCCACTGAAGAACAGAGTCTGCCTCTTAAAACTGAAAATAAGGGCTTTTAAACAATGTAACAGTTATAATGTGTTGGTACGGCCCCCAAACATTGCAAGCCACCAAGTTCGTCCGTTATGTAAATCCATTGTGTGGGCCAGAGCTGCAAGGTCGTCAGTATTCCATGCTGTAAATTTTGTTTTCAGTTGTACCATGGTCTTCTTTTTGTTTTAACAAAGTTATATGAAATACATTTTTCTGTAGTAGGGTTTTGATCACTGTTCCTGCTTTCCACAGGAAAGTAATCACAATCTGCAGTATAGACAGTGCAGTAGTTTGAGGTCATGCAGTATTATTGTTTGAATGCATTCAAGTGACAAGTTTAGAACATGCAAGCTGGAAATTGACATGGGGAAAAGTGTATTCCATGTGATTTTGTGTTGTAAAACCATGGTCTTGAGCTTGGTATCTTGTGCCAAAGGATACGCTTGTTTTGGGTCCTGGACCAAGACATTATGAACTGATGTGTTACGCCCCTCCATCGTGTAATTAAAGTCCCAACGAACATTGGTGAGTAAATCGCACTGTGTGATTCCTCTAGCTCTAATTGTAGTTTGCATACTGAGGCAAAAAGGGAAATGCTCCTGAATCAGCTTGTATACACAAAGCTGGTATGAAAGAACATTTTGTTTAGTTGAGTCAGTTGTGAGTTATCACTGATGAATGAAATTTGTGCTAATCACAGTTTGAAGATACTCTACGAATGGATTATATGCTAAATAATTTGTAGTGTAGTTTCAGGTTGATATTCAGTAGCTGTATGAATTGAAATAAAGTAGGGTACATCAAATTGTAGGCTAGTGAAGTGTTATTTGATTTCCATTCCAGAAGGTACTGTTTAATGCTGATTTTTGCCACATTCTTGAGACAGTAATGATCATGAGTTGTATACACATAGAATTGGATGACTGACTCAGCTATGTCTTCAGCCAACAAACATGTTGCTTAGTGTTTGTGAACATAACCCATGCATGCCATCTGTTAACAGGAGTGTGCGATCTCAGTGACCTGATCTACTGTATTGGGGGCTGGAACGGTCAAGCAGGCATCAAGCAGTGTGATGTTCTGGACCCTGCCACAGGACAGTGGAGCTCCATTGCTTCGCTGCAGACAGGTACCTGTCTGTGGGCCACATTATAAGAAGCATGTTTCCCATCAGCATGCTGGTATAAATATGTGCCATACCCTTCAGTGATCATGTCAGTGAAGCACTAGCATATGAATAAGATTCAGACATAAAATGTTGTGCAGGTCGATGGGTACTAATGATCAGCTTCTAAAGGTTTGCATAATATATTGCATATAGTCTAGGGGAGTCATACAAATTCCATATTGATGTACTTAGGTTAATTTTGTTGTGAAAATAACAGAAACAAAATTGATGGAGTATTTATTAAACAGTTAAGTTTTTTTAACAAGATTAACAGAAATGAGTACCAGGAATCATCCTGGGGGGTAAAGGACAGCTGGTGTCTAAGGCTGACAGCCTGACCACCATCTCACCATCTGTGAGCCGACTGTCTAGAAGATGTCGGAGCCTCAACCTCTCACAAACTTATGGGCCTTCATGGCCTGTTACAGGGATAGCTTTACCTTACTTTCACCACATTCATTAAAAGAGGAGGAAGACACTAACACACATTTTGGGAAATGGGAGGCTGCTTATGCAGGCTGTACAAGAGAATTATAATATATTCTGCATATAGGATAAGAGAAAGTCAAGATCCAGAAATATCTGTGTTGAAAATGTCACATGCCAGGCTGAATTGTATGACTTGCCATCATTTGAATGTCACCCTGTTGTGTTTCAGGCCGCTATCAAGCAGGTGTGTGCTCCATGGATGGTCTGGTGTTTGCGGTGGGTGGATGTGATGCCTGGAACTGTCTCAGCTCTGTCGAAGTGTATGATCCGCAGACAGATGTGTGGACATATGCCAAGGGAATGATCACTGCAAGAAGAGGATGTGGTGTTGCGGTTTTCAAAGGTGGTTTCTCGGTTCTTACATAGATTTTTTTTTTTTCATATTAAGTGAGATACTGGCATAGCTGTTATTAACTTGGAAAGCTTTCTCTCTTAATTATACACTATAGACAGTTTTAAGATTAATGCAAGGAAAACTTGAGTATATAATTTATGTTTCATTTCAAGAACCTGGGTCCGAATTGCCAAGTATAGTGAAGAAGGCCTCTGAAAGTGTGATGTATTCTGAGCATTATCAGCTTTAAATACATTTCCTCCTTGCAGTGCAGGGTATGTTACGTACATGGGTGAGGAGAGATTTGTGCACATTTTCATTAGGAAAACCTGAAAGATACGACACGAATACCTGGGCTTTTTTTTTTTTATTGCTAGTGGGGTGGGACTGAGTCCCTTGTACTGCGACCACTTCTGGCCTGTTGTACCAGCCCCATATGATAGGTGAGGGTGATTGTGGAGCAATTGGTGGAATGGAGATTGGCAGGGGAAACCGAAGCACTTGGAGAAAACCTGCCCCAGTGCCACTTTGTCCACCACAGCTCCCACTTGACAAGACCCGGGATCGAATCCGGGCCGCCGCGGTGGGAAGCCAGCAACTAACCGCTTGAGCTATGGTGCGGCCCAATACCTAGGCTTACATGGGAAAATAATTGTAAAATGTATCTTACAGCAATAGAAGAAAAGGATGTGGGCTGACTTCATATAGCTCGGGACAGGACTCCGTGGAAGGTTGTTGTGAGCATGGTAATGGTAGTTCACATTCCGTATAGTACTGGGCAGTTCTTGATAAGATGATCAACTGTGCTGTAGCATTTCTTCTCAGTTGTAACTTTCATAATGTGTCTATGACTGTGAGGTTATTACCAAACTGTCATCTCCCACGTATTCCCTCAGTACTTTTGAAAATGTTCATATCCATTGCTGAATTCTACTTTCATTTCTCTTTGTAAGGATCCATGTTACATTCTTACATGGTAATGTCCATATAAACTTCCTGAAGCTGCTTTCTGATAGTGCAAAATGTTGCTACTAACGGACCCAACTGGGGATTGCTCTGAACACTGACAAGTGAATATGCCGGTGCGATATGATGTGTTTCAGGACGACTTTATGCTGTTGGTGGGTCGGATGGGTCACACTCCCTGTGTTCCACAGAGATTTACGATCCACAAGAGAAAACCTGGACTCCAGGCCCTAACATGACTACAGCACGTGCCAACGTTGGCGTTGCTGTTATAGGCAGTCGGCTGTATGCAGTTGGAGGGTTTTCAGGTATGGGGAGAAATTTGGGGTACTATGTGGGAAAGTGTGAAGGTAAAAGCAGTTTTAGACTTAAACATTTTGTCCTTTATGCTTTTTGCTGTGTATGAGTAGTGACAATATTCTTCTGTGTTGTCAACTTGCATGAAGAATCTTGTTCTGCGGATAGTGTAGGTAACAGTGAAGTTGTCCACATGAAGGCATTTGGTAGAGTGGTCACCACTGTTGTGACTAAGGTTCTACATGAATCTCCCCAGTTCCTCCAGGCAATTGCCAGGACAGTATGTCAGGCCATGACCCCCATCTTCCAAATCGTTTGCAATCAGTCATTCCATCATCCATTGCAGTATAAGCTAGATACTGAAAGTGTCTTAAAATAATTCATAGAAGAAAGAACAAAGAAACAGATGGAGGTGAGGGCTCAGGATCATACCCCATTCACTTTGCCAGCTGCCTCCCCTGAAGCTCCCAGTGTTCACTAAATAGGAGGCTGGGTGGGCCTTGTAGCTTGACTGGAAATTCTGGACAGGAGAAAGATGTCTATCCCTGCTGGGAAAGGAACAGGTAGTCCTGTTACCCAGCCTGTGGCCAGTATGCTGACTGAGGTACCCCGACTCCTTCAAAAGATACTGTTATCTGTATAAAAAGGTAAAGCTATCCCTGTAACAGGCCATGAAAGTCCATAGGGCTGTGAGAGGTCGAGACTTCCACATTTTCTAGATAACTGGGTCACAGATGGTGGTGAGGTCTGCCTTACACGCCAGCCACACTTTCTGTTAGAGGCTGAGTCTACCCCAGCACCGTACTATAGCCAGAAGGATTAGGTCAGTTGAAAAATCCAATGATCTCATCAGGACTCGAACCTGTGACTTCCCAGCTTGTAGCATAGTGTCTCAACCAACTGTGCTACCGTGTGCCTCCATTATGTATGTAACTAATGTAAGATCCATTGAGAACTCAATGGGAAGCTTTTGTATTGTTAATAGCTCCTCCTCTCTTCAAAATTTCTTCGCAGCCTTACTTATTTTTTAATGATATGTTGAGGCCATTACCATTATCAGCACCAAAACAGCCCTTTTTTGAGCCATAGCCTCAGTAGATTCTGCCAGATTTATCTGGTTTCTACGTCCTTGTATTTCACAACACTAATTTTTTTATACAGAGGAGGGTTGGGAGCCTTGTGTCCAACCCCCAACCTGGAGGACCACATCTCTGTAATTAGGTCCCCCAAAGACAGGGTGGGTAGATACACCCCCAGGCGCCAGGTTCCCTTTTCATTGTTGCTTTCTACAACTTGCATGAGCACTATCATCCATGAATAACATGCATAAATCATCATTTATGGACCATCTAGTTTATATAACATATCACACTTCACATAAAAATATTGTCAGTATTTGCAGAGTAGACATAATACTGAAGTGAAAGAGTGCTCATTTGTGATGTACATCTTCCGTGCAGCACATTAATGTTCATAGTCTTTTATGTGGTAACCCGAATTTCTGTAATGTCACAGCTGCAGGTTTTTGTGTGTGTATGGAAGGACAGTGTCTTTGGTGTAGGAGTGTGACATGTTTGGTTCATTTCCAGGCAAGACTTTCCTAAACAGCATCGAGTACCTCGATGAGAAGACCAATGAGTGGACCACTTTTGTTCCCAAGGTAGAGATGCAGGACATCGCTGAGGCATTCCGTCCAGATATTGTTCTGGGTCCCTTGCATTCACAGCCTGAACACGTGAATGGCTCTGCTGATGTGCATCAGGACAGCAGCGACTCTGACAAGAACACAAACATAGTTGAAGAGCCTGTTCCTCGACGCAGAAAAAGAAGTCAGAGACAGTAGAGATGCTTTGTGTAATTGTGAAAGTTGGAGGCAATGAGGGCCTTAGGAGGTTATGGCCCCCCAGTGGGACATTGAGGCACCAGTATTCTTAAGAAGTAATCCCTGGGTGTTTTTTTTTTTTTCTTTTTTCATGAGGGGGGTCCCTTCCCAGAATGTTTCCTCCCCCCCATCTCGAGCTTCTGTGTAGTTAGTGAAATATGAAGCTCAAGATCTGTCCAGTATCTTTCATTGTGAGTGTTTCACTGATGTGCAGTTGTGTTGTGATATGCCTCATTGAAAGCACTTTGCACTGTAGCATCAAACTGAAACATTTTATGTCCTAACCCTTTTGGGAAGGAACCTAATTCTGTAAAACATGATATTAGGCACTATATCTACCTTACTTAACGTCGTCTGAATGTTGCCTCCCATGTGTTAGCCTATAGCATGAGAGAACAGTGATGTGCAGAATATCTGATTGATGCTGTTTTTTATATTACATTTGAGCCAGATTTTCCTCAAGGAAGAACATAGATCTTTTGTTGCCTTCTCAAGGACCAACTCTCAATTTGGTGTGGATGAATTCAAAAGTTTGTATGCGGATGATTTAATGCAATGTCTTGAATTTCAAATGAAATAAAATAAAATACCTTGGTCTCATTTGGCCCTGGTGTTTGAATTCTCTCAGGTCCCCCCTTTCCCCAATTTTGATTACATTTTTAAAATTTTTTATGATCAGAACTGTCCCATTGAGACTAATTAACATATTTGGACAATTTTAATTTTTGTAGACACTGAAAAATCAAATGAAATTTTTGTAATCACAAAAGTTGTACCTGTATTTATTTATATACATGAAATTTTGTAATAATGTATGTATTCTCAGTACATTGATAACATAAACGTCTGTAGGCAAAACAAGGAAACAGTTCAGTAATTCACTATTGAAAATGAGGTATGACAGTTTTTATATTAAAAATACATTAATGATAGTTAATAGTATGAATCCTATATAATGAATTTTGAATAATTTTATTACAGTTTATGTCCATGAGCTTCAGATGCAATACACACAAATCACGCAACACTGGTTGCCAATCTTTCTGGGTGCCCTCGAACACTTGACTTGTATCCTCCATGTCTGAAGTCTTTGCTAGTAGCAGTAATTTAATTCAGAATGATTCAGATTGTATCTTCAGGGTAATTTCCACTTGGTAATGATTTGTGCAAACACTGCAATTCTGCAGTGCCAGCAGTTCAGTACCAGACATTCATGCATTTCTGCACCTTAATGTGAATTTAAATTTACAGAATTTCAAATGATTTTTATATAATTTTTTTAGTGAAGATTAAACAATGAAGTTACTTGTCTCAAGTAGAAAAATGATGATTAAAAAAGTGGCTGAAATGAATTTATTTTAATGCTAATTGAGTTGTGTATTTCTGAGTTTAAATTAAACAGCATGAAGCCAAAGAAATAGCAAAGATAAGCATCAACAGTCAAAACTTCATGCTATCGCTATGTAAACCAGAATACCTTTTTAGGGCAGCTTTTCCCTTTCATTTAGGTGGGAAATGGAAATATATATATGGGGATAATCATGGTACAGTACAGTGTTTCAGAAGCTGAGTCTTCTTCTGTTGTCTGGTATAGGAGGAGGGGAAGGATTGTACTCAGTTGGGCACCACTGGCAACAGGAGAGGATCTGGCTTCCAAAATCATTGTCTATTTTAACCATACCTAATATGATCACCAGTATCCAGCATAGTATTTACAAATTACATTTCATTATGGTGAACAAAGTGTTTTCAGATTTAAGAAATATTTTAACTTGAGCTGTGTAATGCAGGGGGCAGTAGTTCATATCACTTATGCATGTAGCAACCAGTGACAGAAACATTGAAATGACTTGTTTCAACGCATGGAAGAAACACATACACTTTGATCTCAGAAGTTTATCTTTGTTTTATTTATATGATTACTGTTCTGTCTTACCTAGTTTATGTTTTTCATGTTACTGGATTCTGTTGCAATACAAGTCACGATGCAGTATAGTCATAACTTCTGTCTGAATTTGGGTGCTTGGAGTAGTGCTGTTAGGCCTATGAGAGTGACTGGTTTAATCCAACATTCTCATTTAAAAGCATGATGAAGTTTTTAAATTCTTTTTCACACATTTGCTCTCAGTCCTGTCACTTGGGTTGAATGTCACCATGTGCCAGTGCTGATCCTGGAAAGAGAGGTGCTCTTTTCAGTGTATGTAGAAGTGATAATGTCCTGCAGATGTCTCTGATATGCAAAGGAAATTTAAATGTAACATGTTGGAGCATGACACAATTGAAATATCTGGTGATAACTGATATTCACTTGTTCTATTCCATTTCTATTTTGAATGTAGTGGATCAGAATCCAGTTCTCTTAGGAAAAATGACTAATTTGGTACATGAAGTCCCAGTACAGGGTGTGGCATTGCATATGTGGACATGAATTTCTGTGAAATGATGATGTTGAAGATTGAACTCTGTAAGATGTTGGTTAAAATTAAGTAACCCAAAGTATTGAGCAAGCATTTGTGAATTCCATGGTATGTTAGGTGCAACAAGTAATTCTGCGAGAAGATTGACAGCAAGTGTTTAAGTAGCGTCTGACACAGAAGTGTTATTAGTTCATGCTGTAGAATCTTTGTATCTGCTTCCAGATTAGTTATATATTTCAGTGTTTGCATTGTATTGAAATTGCCATAAAGTAATTCTGTATTTCTGTTGATGTATTTGAATCTTGGTCATATTGAGGTGTGAAGATGGAATTAATGAAGATTAGTATGTAAAAGAATGATGTATTTTTATAATGGTATATGTACTCGGTTCTGTAACAGCTGTTAATGTCTGCTGCAATACGAGTCATGTAGAGAGAACTGTAGTCAAATGTTTATGCTGATACACATACATGTCAACATGGTCACTAACTGGATGGAAGACTGGCTGTGACGTATTGCCCTATCATTTTTCTTACAATATCCTCTTTTTCCCACACCTCCTCCTTCCTCCCCAGTTTTTTTATCTTCCTTCTCCTGATGACAACTTCTTTAATGTGTTCCCATCTTGATCAGTAGTTTCCTCTGGGGAATTTTCATTTTATGTTTAAATCTTTGGCATTCTTTCTTTCTTTCTTTCTTTAACATTTACAGATGATAGAGTACCATAATGCAGAATCTGTTCATCACATGTAATAGACTCCCAAAACTTTCCTTGTGGTGCTCAGTTCAATGTTACACAGGTTGCTAGTTGCACACAGAAGCTTTGCAGGTGCAAGCATGGTGTGTTCAGAAACAGAATGTGTTAATTCTCAGCATTACCTTAGTCGCTGTTCATGAAGCACTTAGCAATGCAGGCACCCAGAAGGAAGTATCGAATGAGACAACAGTGTTGTTGCTTGCATATACTTCTGTAGTTTGAGTTGCAATTTAAATGGTGGACATCATGCAAGAAAGGTTGATATGTAAATGGATTTCGGAAAGAAGTAAACAACTCTCTAAATTCCCGATATCGGCCACAGGTGTTAAAGGATATGAGAGAGAATTTTAGATACATTGAAGATTAGGTGGGAGGATGTGAACTGGAATCAGTTCATGATACAAACCAGTGGTGGGCTCTTGTGAGCACTCTTGAATTGTAAAGGGCCATGCAGAATCTCATGAATGTTAACATGATCCTGACTTATAATTTAGGGGGGGTTCAACCATCTGACAAGGTTTTGGTTTCACTTGTAACCTGTAACCAGTTTTTGAGGGCTTTCCATATCCCATAAAATACTGTGGAATAGATGCCTGTTTCTAGGCAATGACTGCAAACCAACAAGACAATGGCCATTGCTGGGGAATACATGTCTTCACAAGATTTCCAGTTTTTTCCCCTTCATTGATGCACATGCATTTGGTTTTGTTGGCTAGATTTTGTAGCTTACATTTCTTTCCTAGTTCCAGGAACATTTGTGCTTTATCACAAGTTTTTGAATATTTTCCTGTTTTCCCTCTCCAAACTAGCCTGGTGGTAGGTAATTAAATGTCTGAAGTGAATGACTTAGGTTGACGAGTGATTGAGGTTGGCTCTTTCCAAGGGACACTCCATGGGAGTCTCTCCCACCCCTCACCTGAGGACAAACATCCAGTTTCTGAAGTGCTGTTTTTTCTCTAGTTTCTAGAATACTAGACACTGGACAAAGTCCAAAAACGCAATAATTATGGGTATTATATTGTAAATCATTGTCAGAACCCATTAGAATGGTAGGGCTGGTATTGCAATCAAGGAGAACAAATAAATAACAAAGAAAGGAGTTCATTCAGAAGGGTGGGTAGGCCATTGTTAATTTTGTCATGTAGTACCAGATTGAATTTTATATTTGTTGTGGTTTATTGGGTATCAAAATTGTAAAAATTAATGATCCTTTAGTAGAGATTCCTGCAGTCTTCTTCAGGGGAAGTAGTGCCTAATTTTTACTGCTGTGGCATGGACAAATATTGAAATGTCTATAGTGTATCGTTATTGCTATTTTTTTTGTTGATACATAATCAAGTCAGGAATATAACGATCCAGAAGGCTTTTCATTTTTCTTCACAGTGATGACCAGTTGCCAAACGAAAATTGTCTTGATGCACTACATTTTATTCCGTCTCTTGGCTCTGACCAGAAGAAAATTATGAGTGATGTCAGCAGTAAAAATAAGAATGTGATTACAGATCCACTGTTATGTATGGTGACAACCTAAATTTCAGTGGCCAGAAAGGTGGGGGGGAATTGAACTGAACAGTAATGAGATTACAGGGAATGAGAATGAAGTTAAAACATATTGATAATGTGATGGATTGTGACTACAGACATGTTTGGGATTGTTGACTTGATTAATTCCACACTTTGATACAGTGTATGACTCCACTTTACAGTTCGCTGATTCACTAATGTCCACAATCATGTCTTCACTTCCATTGCTTGGTAGCGGCATTTTCACCAGTGCAGTTATATTTACTGTGGTCAAAATCAGTAGTATATGTTATCTTACTTATCAGTGGTTGTTGTATACTTGATGTTTTGTGGTCGTTGTCTATATATGGCTCAACATGCCACAATATAAATGCCATAGTTACAAGAGAGAGTTAAAAATATATGCTTGCAGCAAATATTTTCAATAAAAAGATAAGTTGTATAGTCAAAAATGCATGCTCTCTAGAGAAAAAGTCCTTAAGCGTGAAATTTATAATAAATGATTTTCACAATAGGGAAGCTTCAACAAACATCAAACTTTGCACATTGGAGATAAGCTTTACAAAAGTTGCAATATATATTTATTGGCGAAATGTCGTCTTGACATCAACGGTCTCGCACTGGAGAGAAGCGTTTGAAATGTGGTGTTTGCAACACGGAGAGAAGCAATGTAGGTGTGAGAAAGAAAAGGCCCTGTAGAGAAAGAGACTGGAGAGAAGCCTTTGAAATGTGATGTTTGCAATACTGAGAGAAGCAATGTAGGTGTGAAATTTGTAATAAATTCTATTCACAAAAGGGAGGTCTCAAAACAGACGTTTGCACGCTGGAGATAAGTGTTACAAATGTAACAGTTGCAGTCTCAGTATCTGTTGAGAAAAATAATGTTGATAGACATCAATGGACTCATACTGGAGAGAAGCATTTTGAATGCGATGTTTGCAATAACTACTTCACACAGAGAGGAAGCTGTGACTTTGTTGTCATAAGTATTCTGAAGATAAACATTTTAAGAGCTCTAGTTCTCATGTAGTGCGTCAGTGTATACACACCGGTGATAGGCCGTATACCTGCGATTATTATTCTAAATGTATTAGATGTCAGTAAACTCCAAATCCATATTCACGCTTACTTCAGGAAATAAGGGTATTGAGCTTGCTTGACTATTGACCTGACTAAAAGGGTGAATATGCCCCTGTGCTTGGTTAGGTATTTCTTTATGAAGATGTATGGATTTAATGTATAGGTTCATACATTCCTAAATTTGGAGCTAAGTGGAGGCCTCGAAATTATTTATAACAAACCTCTTGCAGTATCAGCATCCATGAACATCGTTTTGACATTGTTTACTTTTAGTTCTTGAACAGGCGTACCAGCATAATCACTGCCAGCAGGCTGGATGACCTAGGAACTAGAATTTTATTTCTGTAAGGACAAGAGATTTTTCTCCCTTCCACAGCTTTGAGATCACCTCTGGATGCTGCCCAGCCTTGAATCCCGTCAGAATGTGTAGTAAAGCACTGAGACTGTGAAGTTGACGTAATGAGGTTAAGAATTCATGGGGCTATACATCAATTCTGCTTATCCACACATCTTTATGGTGCCGTGATTTATTAGGCAAGGAAGCAACTTTGCCTTTATCTTTTGAGCTTGCTGGTTTTTGCATACTAGTGCCATATATGAAACCTGTTACATGAGGTGTGATTTGGCTGATGTAAATTTGAGATTATGCAGTTGTAAGATATAAATGAATAAGGTAACCTAGATAAGGTTGACTGTTTCAAGGTATTAACATATTTGAGAGGGGAGGGCAGGAATCCCACAACAGAACTTTTGTGCATTCCAAATAAGTCACAAAATGTTTTGACTCCAATCAGAAGACTGAATGTCCACATGTGATGTTGATTATCATTTCATATGTCCATATCAGTGAAGAGTGCAGTCAGCATATTTTTGCATGTTACTGATATACCAGGATCAGTTGACATCTGTCATCTGACATATTCCTGGCTTACAGTCTTGCCTTACCATCAGCACATTTCAACCACCTTCTGCAAGTAGTTATATTGTATTACTAAGTGAAGTATCATATAGATTAAGTACAAAAGTTGCAGTGCCTAAATGGAAACCTACTTTTGCATATAAATTCAGTCTTGAGTCCAATATTCCCCTTGGTTTTCATATTCATAACTCTTTATTCTCTTAGTCTAAAAATTGTTGTCACAGTCACAATTGTCACAAGAGGGACCAGACTGTGAAGTATGGTATATAATTTTTATACTGTTAATCTGCAAGACTTCTGTGGTTACATGATATTGTAAGTTAATGTGCACAATATGTTTTTCAAAATATATGGCCTATAATGTTCAATTTTCAGTTTTTTATAGTGTTTCTATAATGCAAAGTGATTGAAAAGCCACTTAGGTCATACTATTGAGAGCTTAAATTCAACTAACACAACTGGTATATTACTCAATGCTGTGGAATCAGCACTGTGCTCTCTTGTTTGTGTTATCACAAATGTTTAAATAAACGTTTTGGCAACAATCTTCTTTGCATAAAGCAAATCTATAATATGGCTTTTTATGACCTTTTTGTTACTGTGTATAATCATAACGTTTGTTGTTATTGTTATGTCATAAAGATACTGTAGTAAATTCATTTTTATACATCCTCATGTTTCCCGCTGTTTCATAAGTTTCTCAAACCTAAGGGTTTTTCTGACAGAGATTATATATTATGTGTCCACCTCTGGGATTGTGATTTAATGAATGCATGCAATTCAGTTTTTTATAGTTTCTTAAATGTTTGAGCCCCCTTTTTATAATAGGAATGTGAAGTGGAGGTTTGGTTTGGCAGGTTATTCACATTCTGGTTTAACAGTGTGATAGTTGCAGCACAATAATTGGTATGAACCATTTCCAAACTGGACCTACAGGTGATAGAGCAGGAAGGGGCAATAAATCAAGAGGGCACTGATAAGAGAATCATAACTTGCAGGTTAGAGCCTTCTTAGATATGACTTCATGTAGTCTAGTAATTGTTTACTGACATCCTGGAGGAACTTGCTTCCTTCATTTTCAGGTTAGAGTTGGAGACAGCAAGTTCTTCGAAAACGTCAGCAGAGATCCACCAAATTAGACCGTGTCACTTTCTAGAAGACTGTAAACTTGAAGAATGTAAGAGGCAACATGGTGACCTAGGCTGAACAGTGAAACTGTTAAGAGCGATTTTAAAGAAATAGTGGGTGACTGTGGAGATGGTTTTGTAGGAGGGAATTTGTTGAATGGATGAGAAGAATTAGCTTTTCAGGAATGTGTCTGTCCTTGCAATTTGTCTATTGTCCATGTTTTTCCTGCGCATAAATTTTCTTCTCAGTGATGACTTCATACGCATTGCCATTGCCATGTGCCGCCCAGACTGTCAATAAGATGGGATACCATTTCATTTCATTTCTTGAACATCAATTTTCTTATACATAAATTACGCTACTAGCCTATTTCCAGAATGTGACACCCTCCGTTTCTTATGTGGTCTGCCAGGGCTACGTCTACTTGTGAATTTAATGACTCAAATTATGTCTGGGAATAAAAACTACTTCCATGAGTATGATGTGGTAATTTCTCCAATTAGAATTATCCGCGTTTGTAGTTACGACACTATATGTCACGGCATCCTTGAATCTCTTCGGTTACTTCATCAATTCGCTCTGTTTCAAGGATGATGCTTAGGGTGTCTACCCCTGTTCGATGATAACGGCGGTGATCCAACATTATTCATTCATGAGGATCAAGTAATCTTATTTTCGTGTGTATATTTTGGAATGCGTTATCAAGAACGTCACGAAAGAGGTTAGAGTATGCTCGTTGTATGAAGAAAATCATAGTGGTGTTACCCAGAATGGAATATATTTTTAGGTGGCCAACACGAATATGTATTGACAATAATGTTTTAATAAATAAGTATTTTCATTATTTCAGTAAATTTTATTTTGAGAAAGGAAAAAAAGCGACAACGAGTGTTGTAGTTAATTTAATGGTAAGTTGAATACCTTAGTGGTGTTTGCACTGTAGTAGTTATATGTGTCGTAAGGTATTAAAACTATGTTATTAATTATGTTGATACTTATCAAAGCTGTATAGAATGCTAACGAAATATATACGTGGTTACAAACATTAAATAATAGAGTGACATCACTCCCATCAGATGTATTTGGGAACGACGATAACAAATCAAAACTGATTCAGGAGGAAATTAAGAGGAGATTGAACTCAGGCAATGCGTGCTACCATTCAGTCCAAAACCATTTGTCTTCTCGTCTGCTGTCCAAAAAACAAAAATCAGAATATAAAAAACTATAATTTGGCCCGTGGTTCTGTATGGGTGTGAAACTTGGTCTCTAACATTAAGGGAGGAAAATAGACTGAGGGTGTTGAGGAGAAGATTTTGACCGCAGAGAGATGAAGTGACAGGAGGTTGAAGAAAACTGCATAATGAAGAGCTTCATAACTTTTACTCTTCTCCAAGTATAATTAGAATGATCAGGTCATGGATGAGGAGGTGGGCAGGGCATTTAGCACGAATGGTGAAGAAGAGGAATGCATATAGTATACTGGTTTGAAAGTCAGATGGAAAGAGACCACTGGGAAGACCAAGGCATAGGTGGGCAGAAAATATTAAAATGGATCTTCGAGAGATAGGATGGGATGGTATGGATTGGATTTATCTGGCTCAGGATAGGACCAATGGAGGGCTCTTGTGAACATGGTACTGAACCTTTCAGGTTCCATAAGATGCTGGTAAGTCCTTGAGTAGCTGCACAATTGGCAGCTTCTCAAGAAGGGCTCAGCTCCACGAGAGTGAGTGAGTGACATCACTTCCTTTCATGTAGTTTTCTTGCAAAGGGAATGCAGCATGCTGTTAAAAACTGAAATCAGGCTTCTGGAATGTAACACCATGCAGTCTGTTGAAAGTCCACCGATGTTTCGGAGGAACTGGTTGCCTCCATCTGGAGAGTTGAAGAATAAGTCAGCTTGTCACCTGCCCTCACACTGGTTTCTTGCTTGGCTTATTCTTCGACCCAGAAGATGGCAGCAACATGTTTCTCTGAAACGTCGGTTGACTTTCAACAGACTACATGGCAATATACATGTATCCCAGATAATAGAACTCTTCATAGCCACTGCTGTGAGAACCTTAGATCTTATATCATTTAGGCATTATTTTTGTGATGGTATAATGCATGAGGGCGACACACATTATAAGAACCAGACAGGATATGTGGTGGACATCTTGAAATCATAACTTCAAATTGCAGTGTATGCTATTTTAGTTTGTACCTATTTTGAAAATGAGATATCAGTATAAATTTATCCAAAAACATTTGGAAGGAAAATACACTTACTTTGCACTGGTGTTGCAGATGCTGGACATTACAGCGTTTTACAGGATGGACATAGGTAGGGCATTGAAATACAGCTTAGAGAAATAAAGACATAGATTAGTGGGAGAAGTGATAATAAGTACATGGACATTTTCAGGAAGAAATGTGTAAAGCAGGAAGAAGAGCAGCAAGGGGAGATTAGTGAGAGGAACATAAGGATGCTTCAGAAGAGAGATGCTGAAAGAAACAGATACAGGCAAATAACAGGTGAAGCAAAAGCAAGGATGCTACAAAAGAAAAGAGATGCTAAAAGAAACAGGTACTGTCAAGTAACAGGTGAAGAGAAAGCAAAGATGTTACAGAAGAAGAGAGACACTGAAAGGAACAGATACAGTCAGATGACAGGCGAGGAGAAAGTGAGGATGTTGCATAAAAGTAGGATTGCTAAAAGGAACAGATACAATAAAATGACAGAGGAGGAGAAAGCAAGGATGTTACAGAAGAAGAGAATTGCTGCTAGAAGTAGATACAGTCAAATGACAGATGAGGAGAAAGCACGGATGTTGCAGAGGAAGAAAGAAGCCCGGCAGATGAAACTTTGTCTGATGGAGAATGATGAGAAGGTAAGGATGATTCAGATGCAAGAAGATCAGGAGCGACCTAGGGAAATTAAAATGGAGGAGGATGCAGAGAAGGTGCAGAAAGAAATGTGTGCTGAACAAAGAATATGCATGAAAATGACAGGTGAGAAGGGAATGATGGTAGAGAACGATTTGTGGCAGCGTGGACTTAATCAAATGGAAAGTGAAGAGGGGGCAAGAACACAGCAGAGCAACAGAGATGCTAAACAAAGTATGTTTGATCTGATGACACATGAAGAGAAGGAATTGACTAAGGAAAGAAGGATAAATGATACAGAACGAAGCAGGTTCAGTAATAGTTTACATGTAACTAGTGACTTGACTTGTGAGGAAACTATGCAGACAGCAACAATTTGGGGACAGTGTGGAGAGAAGTCAACTTTCCTTTGCAACCCAGCAGTCTCTTGTGAACTCGATAAATCAGTTTTTATTGGATCTATGCATGTTGTATGTGATTACTGCCAAGCAAAAAAGCGGAATGGTGAAGGATGTGGTGTGTGTTGCTCTAATGGGAAAGTTCAGTTGCAGCCTGTAGAAGTGCCTTGTGCAGTACTGACGGTGCTTCCTTCTGGCACTGATCACCTTTTGCAGCATACAGAAATGTACAGCTGTGATTTGCAGATGGCTTCACTTGGAGTTTCTGCAAAGGTATGTGAAGGTAATTTTATGCTAATATTTAAAGTTCAAGGTCAGGCTTCCCAGTTTCTTTGTCTCCAGAAGATCAATCAGTTTGTGGGTTGTCAGTAGAAAGTCCATCAAAAATCCAAGTATAGCACTTAGTTAAGGCTTAGTATGGTTCTTTAGATGAGAGTAAGGCTGTTCCTGTGCTTGGTAAGCACCACACCATAAAATTTATGGAAAGGTGGTTTGTAAGCTCCACACATTCTTAATCATTGCGCTGAATGGAGGTGAGTGTTCGGCATCATATTCTCACCACTTCAACTCTGGGGAAAGTATCCCTGCTCCAATTAGATAGTACGAGGTTGTGTGGGCCTCAGAACTGATTTGGATGCAGTGGCCGAAAAACAGTTCTCTTCTGTCTGGAATCAACCGCCAGTAGTCCAGTCCATAGTGTCATTCTACTGACAGAGCTGCCTTGGCTTATCTGGATAATTCTGTACTAGCAGGAAATGTTAATGTTCCAGATATATAATATTCACAATAAATAATCAATTATTTCATTACAGTTTATTCTAAGAAAAATCCAGAAAAAGAACATNTTCCCAGCAAGAGAAAGAGATTTTCCTCTTCTCCACAGCTTCCACACTGACTTTGGGGCCCACCCAGCCTCCTATACTATGGGCACTAGGGGCTATTTCTCTGGGGTGAAGTGACCAAAGAATGAAGCTGACCACTCACCTCCATATAGTGCCAAGATCAAGACCTGTGCATGCCTCCATTCCCTCATGCATCTTCATGGTTTGGTGCTTAATTAAGTGACAGGAAAACTTTTCCTTTGGTATAATTGCAGTGAAGTCCAAAATCAAAACAGTGTAGGAAGGAAGAAAGTGTGTTTTGGTTGTAATTTCAGCATCTTAGAAAGAAAACGAAGTCTACCATTCACTGACCAACTTTGCTATTTAGAACTCCTGGTTGGGTATTGTCTTGTTGTGGTCCTCTGCTAACAAGCAGCATGCCCTTGCTAAAGTTACGGTACATTGTTAGACATTGTTTATCTCCTAAATAGATCAGGTTCAAGAACAGGCATTGTTGAATTCAACAATATTGCAGTACACTATATAGAGCTAATAAATTTTAGTTGTTCCATTTACATGTTTTTTCTGTCATTTTCATTAGTGATATATGAGGCATAATGAAGATGAAAGCGGTGCATTTCTCTAAGATGTCTATAAACTGCTACAAAGCTGCATGGCATTTCATCCCAGAAGATAATACTGTTCATAGTGTTGACTGTGAGGACTGCAAATCCAATTAATTCTACATTCAGAATTTGTACTAAAATAATGTACCCATATATCATTTTTATCCTGACTGGTTGCAGTTTTCTTAATGTAGCAGTGTAACTACTTTACCTTTACATTACTCATTATACATGGGATGTAATTAATTTATTTGGAAATAGTTTAATTTAAAAAGTTATATGTCCTGTATTGTGTTTGTCACAATATATTTGAGAACAAATGAAAATGTGTACATGTAAACTAGCTGTATCCTGTATAACATATGTCATTATAGCTGATCTTAAAGACTGTTAATTAAATATCAACCATTTTTATTTATTCATATATATAATTGTATTTGATATATTCATTTATGTGACTGATCAGTTGGTTTAACTTGTTGCAATATCTCATCCAATCACTGCATTACTTTGCCCATACACTCTCAATTTGATTGGTTTTAAAGCCGTTCTGTTGTTTCAGCAGACAAAAATATATGAAGTTGTCCATATCCTGGCATATTTGTTTCATTTTGAAATAGTGATGTGCCCAAACAGTAAAGCTGATCTAATGTCCGGAAACTGTGTGGACTATTTTGAGGTGGAGCCCACTATTGTGAATGTCATTGCTGAGTTATACTGTAATATTTATTTTCTGTAGGTATTTACTTTGCATGTATTCCCTGTAGGCAGCTCTCATAATAGATCTTAGAAGTGATGCTTCCATTGGCATTCCAGCAAACTTGTTGCAACTGGTGAAGAGTGGAAACAGTGAAGTTCATACCAACAAAGGGTTAAGCCAGAATTCTTAAATATAATTGGATCCTATTCCATTGTTCTTATGTATAACAGACTGTGGCATTCTCTTCTGTCATTATGTATGTTCAATTGATAAGTATTTATGGTTTCGATCAGAAGATCGCAGCAAAGGCTTGTTATTCTGTCATTGGTATTGCTGTATTGAGGTTAAGTATTTTTGACAGTGCTTGTTTTTACATGCAAAAGATATAGGTGCACAGAAATTGTTACCTCAGTACATTTGATGCTCATTTTCTGATTGAAATTTCAGCAGGCTTTATACAAGTACAGTGATAAAAACTGTGTTGTAGGACAATATTGATGTCATCAAAGTGGAATGCAATGTTGATATAGAGACTGAACCAAAATCTGAAGATTGCCTCACAGATGCAGATCAGGGGCAAGTTCCATTTTCCTTCATACCTGTGAAGCAGGAATTGGTAAGCATTATTATTTAGCAGAATGTGATCATGAGAAATAAATAAAGATATTGTTGGAGAATTGTGTTTTGTTTCATTTTCATCGTCATGTTGAAACTGATTTCTATAAATGGAACAGTTTATAAACTTGCAGACCTTAGGAGTCAGTGTTGCCTGCATGTTGGAAACTTAACTTTCTTCTGGAGGATCAGATGATGGCCTACAAGATGTCATGTTCATTCATGTTGTATGTCATATCCTCTCTCATGCACTAATGTTAGTGATACTGAGGCAAAACATAAATTATAAAGATGAATGGAATGAAAATGCCTTTGATGATCTTGGTGTACTGTACATTTAAGAAGGGGAATCATGAACCATGCACTTTGTCATGTTTGTTTTCTGGGAAGGGTTATTTGCAAGATAGAATCTGTGACATGCATCACTGTAATTGAGTTTGTTGCATACCAGGAAGAGTCATGGGCTGTTACTGCTATCAAGGAAGAGCAGATAGATGAAATAACAAAAGAAGAACAAGAAATTTGTTTCGAAGGGTGAGTATAGAGTGTTATCTTTGTCATGAATATCACATTAAATTTTCATGTTACTGCCATGAAAATTCAACAACATAATTGCACATACTTTGAGAAGCGTAAAAACATTGGTATATAGTGACATTAAAGCCAAAAAAGACAGATGTTGCTTGGAAATGGCCGGTAAACACACCAGCATCGACAAACATGCAGTTCATTGCTAGGCAACAGCCCCTGTTGACACATCACACAGTAACAGAGGAGCTGTTGGAGGCATTGTTTTCTATGGGTCCTGACCTGAGGCTATATAACAAGAACCAACAGGACAAGAGAGGCTTAAGTCCCGTGTGGAGGTGGAGTCAAATACCTCCACCATGACCCTGCAAGTCGGAGACGACGAAAAGGGAAGTCTCAAATCTGAGACAGTGAAATATGGTCGCGAGTCCCAAGGGACTTGGATCCAAAAAAGACTGTGCTGGCAAGGCTCAGCAGCATATACAAAAGACAGACCCGTCCTCTGGTCAGAAAGGACGTCCCACAGAAACAAGATCATAACTGTCAAACGGTAATAATTAATACCTGGTCATGAGCACCAAATGGGGCTTGACACTAAGACTGACTGACTGACCGACCATCAGTCGCAATGTGACTTTGACTCTGACTTTGAAAAGAGGCTTAAACTTGGCAGCAGTCAGGCCTGTGGCCATTCAGCTGACTCACTGCAGTTCCAGAATAGTTAAATAAGTTATAAATAACGCATAACCTGCTGCATAAGCGTGCATTGACAGAAACCTCTGTATATCCTGTATAAAACTTGCTTAGTATAGTGCAGTGCACAGAGACCATAATGGCCTAGATTGTGGACACGTGGATATACAAGGTGTGACAGTTTAATTCCTAGAATGGCCCTGTGAAAGGAGAATTTGTATACCTGTGCACTAGTGGCTGGTGTTATCTTCAAAATACCCTCCTTGTGAAGTTGTGCACTTCATGAGACGATGGTGCCATTGCCAGATATTTTGCACCTTGTACTCTTGCTGAAACTACAGTGCAACAAAGGTAGTGCCTACTCAGAAAGACTGACCCCTCCCTTTTCAAAGAGGAGACCCCATTTCTGAAAACATACATGTTTAGGGGAGAACAGAAATCTTCTTGCTCGTGGATCTTGAGGAGACTGAAGCCAGGAATGTCTGTGCTGGTGAAGGCCAGCAGCAATTTAACCGACTGACCAAGCCAGGCAGTTGCAGGAATGAGTTGAGAGTCAACGTTACTCCCCAAGAAGATTCCTGGAACTCATTTCTGTTAGAGGCTGAGTCAACCCCAGGGCCATAGTGTGGCTGGAAGGATTAGGTAAATTGAAAAAAAAATCCACCTCATTGTGACCCAAACCCCCAACCTTCTGGCTTGTAGCACAGTGCCTCAACCAACTATGCTACCATGTACCCCTTTGTATTAGGTAGAACATGTCAAAATAGTAGAAATTAGTAATACTGGAGAGGAACTTCCTCCTACCTTCTTCAGGGCCAAAGGAAGAAAACATAGTGTCTAATTACTACCATTCTGGCATGTAGTAATAACTGGATGTGTCTGTAGTGGATTCTTATTGATATTTCTTTGATTTTTGTCTCAAAGGTGTACTGACATTGTCACAAGTTTTCCTCAGTCCTTATCGAGCCATTGACATAACTAAAAGGCCTTTGTTTCTCATTTTTCCTCACAGTGGTGACAAATTTCCAAATGAACAAGATAATCGAGGCTATACAGCTTTGCAACTTGACCCATGTCTTGGTCATGACCAGAAATGTGCTGTGGAAGATGTCATTAATAAAGACATGGATTTAGTTTACATGTCCACAGTTAGGCTTGGTGACAACCTTAATTACAGTGGACAGAATGTGAACAAAACTAACTCTGAACTGAGCAGTAATCAGATCATAAGTGAAAAGGAGATTGAGCATCCAGATGTTCAAATTACAGGACAGACTTACAAATGTGACATTTGCAGAAAATATTTTGGAGAAGAAGAGAAACTGATTAATCATCAACATGTGCATACTACAGAAAGACCCTTCAAATGTGAAATTTGTAATAAATTATTTTCCCAGAAAGGGGGTCTAAACAAACATAGACGTGTACATACTGGGGAGAAGCGTTATAGGTGTAGCAGTTGTAATAAACGTTTCTTGGAGAAAAGTCATCTTGATAGACATCAACGGACCCACACTGGTGAGAAGCCTTTCAAATGTGAAATCTGTAATAACTTTTTCACGCAGAAAGGAAGTCTTGATGCTCATCTACGTATGCATTCTGGAGAGAAGCATTTCAAGTGTGAGATTTGTAGAAAATATTTTACTCGTTCTAGTTACCTAGCAGTACACCAACGTATCCATACTGGCGAGAAACCATATACATGTGAGTTCTGCAATAATCGTTTTAGGTGCCGTGGGAATCTTGTAAGCCATATTCGTACTCACACTGGGAACAAGGCGTGTTGAGTTTATTTGCACATTATTCAACCATAAGGGAGTGGAGATGACTGTTTCGGCACATTGTTAGTGGTTGTGTGTTTTCATCAGCCAGCACTCATGAAAAAACATAAATTGGAGGTGACTTAGATTTCAGAGTAATTACAGGGAAATAATAAGAAAGAAGAGCACCATATCAAGAACAGAAGTTATGTATTGATGTTTTATGATTGGTTGAAGTTACAATAAATTGTCCATTTAAACATGTTCATCATCAGGAATGACCATGCTCAGCAAGACTGCAGGTTGCCATTAGAGTTAGGTACATTGCAAATAAGTGTTACTGAAGTATGACTGCTGTGGGAAGGCAGGAGTGCTATATGTGCTGTCACCCCATTCCTGACAGCTTTACAGTCATTGATCCCTTCAGTACATATCATTCTTCCTTCCCAGAGTACTGTAGTACTTGGCAAACTATCAGGGATTAGGCATGCATTTTGCAATATCTATATGGTAACTTTTTTTTTTTTTTTAATTTTTGATGTAAGGTAAGGCTTATATACAATACTGGATTTCATATTTATTTCTCTTTTATATCATAATGTAATTACAATACAGCAAGCTGTAAAGTGTATTTTTTGTACCATTATTAGCCTACAAATCTGTGACTAAATGAAACTGGAAATAGTGTATAGAACATGTTTTGGTTATTTATGGTGTTCTGTTTTTTATTTCTTCTGTAATATAATCAAACACTTTTTGTTATTGTTTTCTAGTGTGGCATAAAATATTCCTTTTTAGCAATTAAATGCATGGTGTTCCATTTTCATATAATACTCGTATTGTCATGTGACAAATAACTTCACGTAGCCTTTGGGTTCAACAATTATTTATTGAACTCATTCATCCACACTTACTTAGAGTCAGGAATACAAATACCATCACTTGCAGTATCACAACTTCTGCCTCTACTTCAATACTTCTACTGCGGCTGCGACCTCTCAACTGTCCTTGGCCGTGGCTGGATCTTGACAGTGTCTACAGATGCATTCAACCATCTTATATAGACCTTATGTGGACCGGATGCCAGACACCATCTCCCACAGTTCAGTTTTCTGTTGTCACTTGACGAACCCTCTGTTGTCCATCTCCAAGGAAACACGTTCATTGTTTTGGCATTCTCTACATAACGGCCCACTGTTATTGCATTACCATGGAAGTACCTACTCAAAACACGTTACAGTATTTTAAATCATCCAGTTCGTTTATCTAAGTTTTGTGAGTGCTTTGTGTTCTGTTTCATCTTCTTTTCAAAGGGTCTGAGAAGAAGTTTCATATATACTATGATAGTGTGACTTAAAATCTTGTACTTAAAACCGTTTATTTTCAGTTAATCAACTGAATGGCATATTTCTGAAGTGTCTTTGACATGCTGATATTTTACCATCAATTTTTAAACTGGTGAGCACTGTTTGAAATGTCCATTTTTATACTGTCTATAGGAACATATGAAGCGTGGAGTACATGGTCAATATTTTACCTTTTCTGTTTATCTTGAGATGTATCCATCTACACAAATTGGTGATGTTAATTTTATAAGCATCTCATATTAAGGTAATCATACACATGGTATATGCTCTCACATTGGAGTCAACATATGCTGGCTCTGCCTGTATATTCAGACTACAGACTTTCAGGTTGTAATAGCATGCAATTTGATACATACCAGCATTTTGAAGAAACTTGTTACTCTGTTCTTCAGAGTGCCTCTTCTACCCTGAAGACAAGCAACAGGTTCCTCAGAAATGGTATCCATCTACCTGCCATTTTCACATCCCAGGAAACTGTGGTAACTCACTACCATTGGAGCCTGAACTATCATGAGACTAGCTTGTACAATGTAAATATGAAGAGAGTGGTTTTCCATCCTCAATCTAATATGTAAGGGACCAGGATTAGATTTTGTGGTTATTGTTTCTTCAGAGCTTTCATATTCTTGCTGGAATTCAGTCACAGATAGTAAGAATAAGACTTATTTTATTCTGTAGAATGCAGGAAATGGATGTTTTTATGAAAATATAACTCCTAAAAATGCATGAAAAGTGTGGAGCAGCACACTTCGTAGACCTTACTAAACTGATGACAGTGTTATGTGTGTGTGATTTCTGTGCAAGGACATCAGTGGACATCAGTTACAACTTTTATTCTGATCATACTGTAAAATTAGCATCATTTTTAAGTTAAGACGCATTTGTGTTACATTGTGTTGAGAAATGTAAGGATAATAACACATGGGTGTTTAAGAGTGCTTTGTCCGGAAGTAGCCATGATTAGATGAAAGGAATGTCTCAAAAATGAATTGGAGGAACTGAGGACAATATACCCATCTGGACAGCCAGTTCCCAATGAATGAAGGAACTTCTGAATGGCAGTCAGTCAGTTACCACTTAGTATGAAAAAACAGGAAAATAATAGGATTATGGCTACAAGTAAGTACTAAATTATTTATTATCAGTGGGAAATTATGTGTAGCTGCTGACATACTTAATGGCTTTGAATCCTATTTAAATGTTTTTTAAGTGTGCAGAGGGGTAAGGCTACCTGGATAGTCAAGTCAGACTTGTGAGGTGACTCTTTTGACTTAATAAAACGGATGAATTGAAAGTCTACAGTGTTGTCAGAATAGTGAGTTCAAGTCTGCAAGTTTATTATTTTCCATAAGAAACGTTACAGTATAATATAAAACTAACAGACAGACAAGAACAGAGGTGTACTTGATACCAGAAAATTATATAATTATAAAGTTGTCTTTCTTATAATTAAAATTAATTAAACACAATATTGATAAATATGTGTCAGCAGCAATATAATTAATGTATGAAATTCAGTGAGATGTAAACAGGGCAATCTTAATAACTGTGGCATAATATTCCCACTGATATCCAATATGCATGTCTGTATTGAAAGTCACTGACAGAAATGTAGATGATATAATGCATTAGCTTTCTCATGAACCTGATTAAACAAAGTGCATTAACAACGTAAAGATTTGTGCAGAGCTATTGTGCAAAGGAACATAAACATAATTAAACAGAACTCACTGCATGTGATCCCTAACTTAAGACAGAATGAAACTAATCATACCATTCAAACCAATTAAACCTAACATGAAAGTTCAGACTATACAGCAAATCAGTTATTTGGGTCACAATATTGCACATAGTATAGAGTCACCCACTGTATTGCCCGACAGATAAGGTATTTACATTTTTATAAAACAGTGAGGAAAGTGTGATAGTTGAATGTGAACAAAAATGTAATTTATTTTACTAATATAGATAATGTCATAATATAAATAAGAAGTGTCCATTATGTTTGGTTATTGATAATCAGTCATATTATCAGGTTCATGACAAGTTATTTTGAGATGCAGTATTCTATTCTGTACAAGTTGGGAGATGTTAGACACTCAGGTCACCATTAGGTAACATTAATGAAAGAGGTGAACTGCCATTTTAAATATCACTTGGCTGCCGCAGTTCAATTTACTAACAAATATAACTTTTTCACATGTTTGAAGAAATGTACAATAGGTGCACCAACTAAATCTGTATATGTTTCCGTTAAGAGTGTTTAACAATCTGTTCTGGTTTCCAGATACACTAAGTTCTTACTAGTTTCACATATTTGAAGTATTTGTAGCTCTACATATTTTCACAAAAATTCTTAAAATGTCATTCTTCCCCGGACACCAACATGTAATATTTGTGTGTACACAGAAAGCATGCTCTTTCAGAGAGAGAGGATGCAGCACTTTAGAAAGATGTGAAACAACTTACATTTTACAGTGACATCTGTTTGGGTATGAATAAATGGAAATCATCACAGTGAATTGTAAACTTTTATTTCTTAATATTTGGCACATATACTGTACAAAGATGCGAAATTTTCCATCAGCATGAGCCCCCTCATGGAGAACAATTTTCATATTGGAATGCCAGTTCTTCCCGTCAATTACTCATCATATCTAGTATGATTTGCCTGAAAGCCCCATTCACATTAAGGTTTAATCTCTGTACACAGTCATCTTTAGAGTTCCCAAGAACAGCAAGTTGTACTTCTGCAGGGAGTGCCACAACAGAGACTAAAGCATTTAATTGATACATAGAGACAGAGTGGAATGAGTGAGAGTCAGCAGAGTCCCTCCTTAGCAGAAGGTAAGTGACCTGTAGTAGTCAGACCTCTCCTTTCATAAGGGTTGGGGAGACAAATTTCAAGAAACAGTAAAGCCTGAAAAGAACAAAAACATGATCATGGGGCTTAATTAAAACTACAAATGACAGTGCTGGTGAGGGCCAGCAGCAATTTATTTGACTTACAAACAGAACTGATGAGCTAAATATCTCTTATTACTGCATTTTCATATAAACTTCACATGCATCTGGATAATTCTAAATTAAAATGTAACAGTAACTTGCATAGGTTACTGTTAATTTCAAATTAAGACGGTTCCTTACATACTTGATACGACTGTTTATGAGCATTATCTGTCTCTGATGTTACAGTCAATGTCTCTTCATGGATACGGCCATGCCTTTTCAAGGTTACCTTCTGAGCGAATTTCTTATTACAAATGCTACAAGTGAATGGTTTTTCTCCAGTGTGGGTGCGTTTGTGTGTCTCGAGATGCCCGCTCTGTGTGAACCTTTTATTACAAACTTCACATTTATATGGTTTCTCTCCCGTGTGTATACGATAATGTTTCTTTAGATTTACACTCTCCGAAAATTTTTTGTTACACACCACACACATGTAAGGCTTCACGTCTGTGTGGCAGCGATAGTGAGTTTTTAGTTGTGATTTATCGGCATATCTGTTGTTGCATATGTAACAACTGTATGCCTTCTCTGTGTGGATGCGAAGGTGATTTTTCAAATTTGCGTTTTCAGAAAATCTCTTATTACATATATCACAGCAATATGGCTTCTCTCCAGTATGGACACGATGATGGTTTGTTAAGTTTCCTTTCTTCGAAAAAGTCTTTTTACAAATACTGCAAGTGTATGGCCGTTCGCCAGTATGAATACGATAGTGTGTCTTCAAGGTTGCACTTTCTGTAAATTTCATGTTGCATACATCACAATTATATGGCTTTTCTCCTGTGTGCGTTCGTTTATGAGTCGCCAGGTTCCCACATTGTGAAAACCCTTTATTGCAAATGTCACAAACGTATGGCTTCTCGCCCGTATGAATTCGGTAGTGTTCTTTGAGACGATCACGTAATGAGAATGTCTTGTTACATACATCGCATTGATAAGGCTTAAGTCCAGAGTGGATGCGATAATGGTATTTCAGATTCGTTTTCTTCGAGAATCTGTTGTTACATATGTTACAAACGTACGGTTTCTCTCCAGTATGAACACGGCAGTGATTTTCGAGCGTTACTTTTTGCGTGAAGCTTCTATTACATACGTCACATGAGTATGGCCTCTCTCCTGTATGAGTGCGTCGATGAGTCGTCAAGGCACCACTCTGTGAGAACACTTTATTACACAATTCACATTTGTAACGTTTCTCTTTTGCTAATGCTTCCGATTTCTGTCTTAAATTTTCACCCAGCCTTCCAGTTCCTGTAGTATACTGCTGCTGAAAGAAAACACACATATCATACTGCTTTGTTGATGCGTCCATATTCGCGAATGATTGTTCAAGTGTCAATGGTTCACCGTTGTCTGCGTAGTCCTCATGCTTCTCTATGCTTAACTCTTCTTTCAAACTTTCGTTGTTTTCAGCGTTATCCCACAATTCTTCTTTAGTTTCACTTTTTATCATAAGTGTTGTTACAGGCTGAAGAAGTTGCCCGTTTTGGAAGTCTGAAGATGTTGTGGGAGTCTCTTTGTTTGAATCAAGTTCGCGCTTAATGTGATCCATGTCAAACAATTTAATTGCAGTCCTCTGCCAATTCTACAGCACGCCGGGAAACACTTTTATGGCCAGGTACAGTAATGTTAATACGGTTAATACTGCCTCTGACTTTTCTTTTCTTTTTTTTTTTATTCTAATTTCACGGCTGTGTATATGGTTATGTACATACATACGTTTAGATCGTTTAGATTGTGTGGATCTAGAAGGCCAAGCGTGTAGCTTTAAAGTGTAATGTAAGTTATTATTAACGGTTTATTTAATAACACTCAAATGCTGAGATTGTATAGCACCGTATTGTAGAATGAGCAATGAGTGATGAATTGGATAGGTTGTGGAAGAAAGCGGTTGTGGCCTAATTTAAGGTACTTTCCCGGCACTTGCCTATAGGGACTCTGAAGAGCAAAACAAAGTATGATTGTAGGGCCTCGGCGCAAGATATGAACCCGCAATATCTGGAGTAAGGTGAGTGCTAGGCCGCGCCATAGCTTAAGCGGTTAGTCGCCGGCTTCCCACCGCGACGGCCCGGGTTCGATCCCGGGCCTGGTCAAGTGGTATTTGTGGTGGACAAAGTGGCTTTGGGGCAGGTTTTCTCAGAGTACTTCGGTTTCCCCAGACAATATTCATTCCACCAATTTCTCCACAATCACCCTCACCTATTATGTGGGTCTGGTACAATAGGCCAGAGAGTGGCTGCAGTACAAGGGACTTAGTCCCACCTCACTAGCAATAAAAAAAAAGTGCTAACCAGTTGACCGTGACGTTGAGATTTACAAACCTTACATTTCTCTAGGTAACGTATACACTGATTTCCCTTATTGTGTTTTTGGCTGTGATCAACTGATGTCTGTAGGCCTGTGTATATGTAAATTATGTTTATGTGAGCTTCCACTACCTCCTAGTGTGTAGTGTACACATCTTCTCAGGTCTTTAAATGGGAATATATTGAGTTATGTCATTGATTGGGCTAGACCCTACTAATCTGGGAGAAATCAGGGAGCAACACATCACACTTGTTAGGGTTTGGTTATGTGTTAGTAATGGAAGGGATGTGAGACTGAAGTTTTCCCGGTGGTGCACGGTCAATTAAGCACTGTTCTTGGGATACATTTATATAGGGTAATTACTGTACATTGACAGCCCAACTTTGTTTCCCTTACATTTATAAGTTATAGCTGTTTCAGTTAGCACAAAGAAATCATGGGCATAAAGATTACTGTTTGTTCGGATGTGATGTTGAGTGGTTCCATAGATACTTATCATTGTTTCAGTTGAAATTGCTGCCTTCATCTTCAAGGAAGATTGGTAGATGTGCGTAGAGTAGCTTCTCGGTAGAGAGTTACTGTGTGTAATCTGAGGTTTGCATGGCTGACTGTGGAGATTACTGTTTTATACATGTGATGTGATGTTGAAGGCACCAGGTGCTTCAGAAGCGCTGGTAGTGATCTACCAGAGTATGTAACTTGACATCTTCATAGTCATTGCTGTGGGAACCTCATATCTCACCAATCAGAAATAAATCTGATTCAAGTATGGAGACAGACTGTTTCAAGACATGCCACTAACATGGCTTGTAAAGGAACAGTTCTTCCAGTGCATAATTAATTAAGCACAACATGATGCCATGCTGGGGGAGCAGAGGTATATATCCAGTTATTCTTAATCTCAGTGCTAGGTGGAGATCAGTGGTCAGCTTCACAACCTCACTACTTTACCCTGGAAAAGAACCCTCCTGTTCCCATTGGCTAGGAGGCTAGGTAGGCCCCAGAGCTGGTCAGGATGACTTGGAGAAGAGAAAAATCCCATGCCCCTGCCAGGAATTGAACTCTAATCATATGACTATCTGACCCATAGCTTGTTGCTATGCTGAGTTAGATATTCAGGCTTTCCAGCCGGGCTGGATCATACTCTTTCTTTGGGTCTCATGACTGTCTCCTTGTTACCTACCTGAGTAACAGCCATTTCCTGGACCTACACCATGGAGCCCTGGAGTTCGGGTGACATGTCTCTGAAATTTCAATATCTGCCTACAAGACTACGTAGTGTCAGAACTCAGAGATCCACAGACTTAGTACAGTTTGTTTGATTGTTCATTTTCTTTTTGGTCTAAATTCAAAGCAAGTGTTCTTGAATTTATATGTAAAATACAGATTAGAATAAAATGTTAATGTTTCACTTATTATTTGAAAAGAATATATTGATGATTTTTTTGTAATGGACAGTTGACAGGAATCATTAATTTGTAAGTCATCAAAAACTTAAGCTTATTCACAGGGTAAACAGTGATTAGGAACAGAACTGGAACTGAAGATTTCAGTAGTCTCAGTAGTTAAGAAACTGACAAATAAATTTTGAACTGATATATGGCAGGAATACTCTAAACCTTTACTGACAGTATGCAAAAGGTGGCAGTGTCGAAATTTATTCAAGAACACAATTACCATTTGTTTTTGTTTTGTTCTGTTTTGTTTATGTTGTGAAAAAATAGAGAGAAGACATGGCCACGGGGAAGGTGCACCACTCGCCCAAGGTTACCACAACATTCCCATTGCAAGAAGAAGTTGAAGATGGGAAAAACAGACATCTCGTTAAATGTCAGCGATGCCCTTCAAGAATACTAAATCCTGGTATGGGTGTATACAAGCAGGTTGAGGTAACTACATATTACAGTATAATAATGCAATATTTTATTTCATAATTGACACTTTCTTTTTTAAAGAAGAAAAATTAATCTTTCTATATTTCATGTGTGAAAGAATAAATGTGCTGTGTCTGCCATAACAGTATGACACATTTTGAAACGCAGTAAGACAAGGGGAAATTCTCTGTATAATCAAGCCTCAAATATAATGTATATGTTCAAGCATCATAAGTGTCATATGTATATGTGTCTGTAGGTGGGGTTTGGATTGCAGACTTGATTTATTGACCACTTATATGGAAGACCTGGAACTACAAACAATTACAGTGCCATCACTAATCTCCACAGTTCACAAATCACCATAGCACTTGCTAAGCCTTTTTCTAGCTTGTTTTTTCTTCATCAGCTGTTCCCTGGCAATGACTTCTAACAGTGGAGAGTCTTCAGTTTCATGTGGTCAGGCCCTCTTTTTCACAGACTCGTGTGCAGAACTGCCTAACAACTGACTTAGTCAGTTGCTTATAAGCTTATAACATCTCGGCATGGATCACATAGAAAAACCCCATTTTCAACAGCAACTCTATTGTTGCATGCATACTTATTGCTGTTGTACCATGTTTACTGAGCCGTTGCCCAGAAACAGTTGTTGTTTACAGAGTCACCGCTTAGCAATAGATCTATACACCACAATAGTGTAACATCACACTTTTTGAAACCTTGTTGAAGGTAACCACAACCTTTTACAAGCATTCATCCACTCTTGGGCATTGGTTCTTTGTCACTTTTGTGACATATTTGCAGGTGCTATACAAATTTCTCCTGGAGTTCGGTCTTTTACCTTGAAATTATTCTGAGGATGAAGATGGCAAACTCTGTTTTTGAGATGCTCCCACTAAGCAAGTTGGTTTAAAGCTAAGTATTCAGGATCTGCTCTGGTGGTCTTGGCCGGGACACCAGCTATTCTGACTTCTTCGTCGTCTTCGTCAGTCCCTCCAGGCAAGTACTGGGATAGTACTTCAAATAGGTGATGACTCTGTCCATCCAGTTCCTCTCTAGCTCATCGTTCATCTAATTTACCGTTTGACAGTGTGTAGCCTAAATACCGAAAATGTCATGAAATCCCCACCTATGCCACGGGAAGAAGTCATGTGCACTCAGGCATGTTGCTCTTGGAAACCCTAGCACAAGATGTGCTGCAGCACAGCGACAACCTATGGAACTTTATGTGCTGGTCACTTGGAGAACCATACTTGCTGCTTCAGCATTCTTTACACAGCAACAAGAAGACACTTTCATTTGCAGTAGCATCATTTGGCATTACTGGAGGCTTCTTTTTGTGAGTTTGGAAATGGTACTATGGTAACAGTAACTTCAGTTAGGTATGTCAGTGTGCTGTATAGACCAAAGGTCTCCAAAACTTTACGAACCGCGGGCCACATTAGGTAATTCAGCACTTTCAATGGGCCAGATAAAGTGAGAAATTAATAACACTGGATATATGAGTTTTATTGAAAGCACAGAATTTCATAAACTAAATACAAAGTACGTGAGAATAAATTATCATATATTAATGACAGCAGACAGTAGCAGCAAATGCTCATATTTTCATCACAAATTATAATAAAACAGTTAGTTAGTTATTGGAGAGGGTGGGTTTCCCCATGCACTTAGACTTGTATTGGTCCATTGCGCTTCCCTCTGTGATTTCTACCAGTCTCTATATCCTACCGGTACTGGTGCTTACCATCAGTCCCGCCCAGCCAGCGAGACCGGCTCTACTAGCTGAGAGGTATCTATAATGCTTCCCCCATCTACCAGAGGTATTAGAGACTGCTGTTGGGTGGGAAACGTCCGTAATTTGTCTCAGTGACCTCCTTTGGAGATATGAGGTTCTTTTACATGCCGTAAAGCTACAACACGGGACCCACGGCTTAAAGTCCCTCCCGGAGGACTTGTTCCCTGAATTTTTCCACCCTTAAAAATTCGACGACCTCCGCCGGGTATTTGAACCCGCGTACTACGAGTCATGAGGTGGGAATGTTACCTCTAGACTACAGAGGCCGCTTAATAAAACAATTAATGTGAATGATGGAACTCTTTTTGCATTCTTAAAATCTGATTAAATTGAGGTTCAAATTTTGAAACGCTAATCACAAGCAGCGACTTTAAATGTTCATCAGATAAATTTGCCCTGTATTTCGACTTGATGTTGAAATACTTGATGACTTGATCTGGGAAAAAGTTCGTTCACACAGATATGTCATCCCAAAAATGGAGATAAATTTACAAGCAAATTTCTTTAAATTTGGAAATTGCTCAGAGTTCAGAAATTTATAAAATTCAATCAAATTTCCTTCCTTCTATTTGTCTTTAATATGATAATTTTCCTGAAGTTCAATAATTTCCATTTGAATTTGACTTGGGACATCTGCAGCATCACAGTCAAACGGATTTTGAAACAATCTGATTTCCTGAGCATTGGAATCCAAATCAGCAAATCGCTTCCGGAATTGTTCTTTCAAATCTGAAATGACCAAATTTGCAAACGAGGAAGGAAATTCTGCTTCAACCATTTTATGCAACTCTGCACAGTATAGCATATGAACAAAGTTACAATTTTTCACTTGGCTTTCCAGAAGTATCAACTTTGCTCTGAATGCCTTGATAAGTGCAAATAAATCACAGACTAAGTTATTTTCACCCTGCAACTTTAAATTCAAATGGTTCATATGGTTCACCAGATCAGCAAAAAATGCTAATTTCCAATGCCACTCGGTATCTGATAAAAGTGGTTCGTGATGGTTTTTCTCGGTAAGAAATATGTTAATTTCATTCCTGAGCTGAAAGAAGCGCAAAAGAACCTTTCCACAGCTAAGCCATTGAACTGCAGTATAATATGTCAGGTCAATAAGCTGGGAATCACATTTATCAGTACTCATTGGAAAATTAGTTCCATTGGCGCAATATTATATTTAAGTATCCTGTTGCACTCCATACGATATATGACACAAACACCGTCTCAAGTGCAACAATTTATTGTAGTTCTTTGTCTTGCCCTCTTCTACACTACATGTTTCGGCCGCAAACAGCCATCATCAGGTGTATGCACTTACGTAGCTGTTACATTGCATCTAGTTTAAAATTTAAAACCATAAGTCTTCCCAATTGTTCTTTTTGTCGTTACTGACAGTTGCACTTGGGACGGTGTTTGTGTCATAAATCCATTGGCGCATTTCTGCACAATTCTTTCGCGGGCCAGATGTGGCCCATGGGCCGTAGTTTGGAACCCTTGCTGTAGACTTTTGTAACATCAGAGGTAGACAGCGACTCTGTTAGAATTGTGACCTGATCCGTACAGCTGGATAGAGGGATGGATAGCTGAGAGGAATAGTTTCCCCTGCACCGAGTTATCTCTCAGCTGGGCACATACCTTGTCCAAGACCCACACATGTTCTTGCATATTGCTGGTGCACATGGTGCATCTCACGAACAAAGTGTAGCGCAGTTCTCCTCAGAATACTGTAGAATTAAAAGATCTGAATTTGAAGAGAAATTCAGCAGTACTGGCAGATATGTTGTAAGACAGTAGAATCCTCCAGTGAAGAAAAGGCAAGGCAAGTGGTTGTTGCAGTTGGTCAGTGTTGAGAATTTTACGTTTCATTTAGGGAGACGTTCAGCTTAGTGTGCCAGTGACAACAATAAGAGTTGTGCAGAAATGGTGTCAATGTGCTCAGCTTCCACAGTACACACTCATGTGTTGTAAGGGCTTTTGCCTTCTCTTTCTTGGAGAATAATATATTTGCGGTTGTCCTCCATGTCTGGAAGTTGTCTCCATCTGTATCCAACAGACCCTGTGTCATTGAAACTCAATGGGTTCATAAGGCAGGTTATCACAGGATGACACTTTGCCAGACATACTAACAGTTTTGTGTGTTGGCAGTTCCCTCTACCCCATATGAAACAGAAGACAGACAGAGGTGACATCTCAACTGTGGAGGAGGAAGTCATCAAGGACTACTGGGTGGTTGAAGACATGTATTCTTTCGAGAATGTTGGCTTCTCAAACTCTGTCGCTGGTGTGAAGTATCTTGCTTGCGCTGACTGTGAAGTGGGACCAATTGGGTGGTTTGACATAGCTGCTCAAACGAGCTATGTGGCATTGTCAAGAGTGCTACATGGTAATGGTTAGGTGGTATGTATCAAGTAGGAGGGGTGATTCTGTCGTGTAGGGTCCTCTTGAGGCTGGGAGGAAACAAGTGTTAAAGGACGTCCATGAAGTTACATTGAGCTTGAGACAAAATGAATCCTTCAAGTAACTTTTGTTTAACAAAATTTATCGTAACATTTCAGTGTGTGTGTTTATTTATGCAATCCATCACTTGATGTTGAAGAGCCTGTGATATAATGATAAGGGGAGGGTAGTTGCAAGTGATGCTTCAAACTAAAACGTATTCAGTTTAAAATGGTAAAAATATTGCATCAGTTGAAGGCGAATAAATGTTTCCACAATTGTCTGTTGATGTAGCGATGGTCTCATTGTGCAGTGGAATCTCCATTTATTTAAGGTTCTCCCATGCTCAATCCTTTCACTGCCAAGCCCTACCACAGAACCACCTGCAAGAAATTTAAATGTAATTGCGTAGAAATACTGACGGTACTTCCCCAAATTATCTTCAAATGACCATAGTTATAAATACCTAAAAAGCCTATTCTTTTGTCTCAATATTGGTGTATCACACTTGATGTCATCTAGTGACAACACTGTACTGCATGATAACATCAAGCTGATCTGCATTTTTAACATGTATGCTGAGTCTAATTGTCTCATGGCGTGGAAGAGGTTAACATTCCATTTCAAGGATTGCAAGTTCATTTACCATTAAGTTTCTTCCATTTAAGATTTTCATCAGTTTAGTGTTGCAATCCACTACTTCGAAAAGAAACCTTAAATGTGGGGATTCACTGTATATTGCTCTTGGTATGTAATGTGACAAGCCATGTTCCTTGTATCAGTTTTTTAATCTTGTCAAAGAAGTTCATTTTGGATGTGTTCAGTTTCAGAACAAAGTAAAGTTATCCATGTAACAGGCCATGAAGGCCCATAGGGTTGTGAGATGTTGAGGCTCCCACATTTTCTCTAGACACTCAGCTCAATGGTGGTAAGGTTGTCAGCCACCCTTCATCTCCTAGAAAGATTCCTGGTACTCATTTCTATTAGAGGCTGAGTTGACTCCAGGGTGATAGTGCGGCTGGAAGGTTTAGGTAAATTGAAAAAAAATCCACCTCATCAGGACTTAAACCCGTGACCTTCCAGCTTGCAGCATAGTGCCTCAACCAACTACTCTACTGTGTGCCCCTCCGAGGTGATTATCAAAATATTGCAGGAATAAGTACATATGCATCCAAATTGTCATCTTCTGGGTTGTTTCGTTTTCTGTCTGTGTTATTTAATAATACTTTTTCAGTTTGAAGACATTATAGTATCAGGTGATATGATGGATGAATCACAAAGGATTTTGACGATGGTGCTTGTGGCCTTACGAAAGTACTGTCGTGGCCTTTGTTTGAAGGGTCGGAAGAAAAACCACAAAGAACGTCAGTCAGGCTAACCAGTGTCCTGGTCAAGATTCAAACTGACCACCTTCTGAATTCAACTATAGAGTATTTTTTTTTTTTGCCTGACAAGCCTGTTCCATTTCTGCTTTGTGGTATTGTATATTCTTATGTATAGTTGGGTGTTTTGAAGAATCTGCTGCCTCTGTCTTCAGAGTAAAAGTGAATGGGGTGAAGATGTGGCCAAGTTATATTGGAAGGGTGTCATGGGGAGTAGTCATTCAGAAGCAATACCACATACCCATCAAGATGGAGCACATGCTCTTCTGCCAACCAAACTAGACGGTGTCACAACCCACAAGACCATAATCTGGATACTCACCACTGTGAGAAACTCAGATTATATGTTTATGTCTGTTGAATTTTTATGTGTAAATTATACTTTCATTAATTTACTATAGTGTCTGTATTTAGACAATGGCTGATACGGTCAAGTCACAACGTACAGTTAATTTCTGTGCAAAATCTGACGCTGGTTCATGTGAATATAGCTCACTCCTTCAGCAAGTGAACATTTATGCTGCATTTTAGACAATTGCATCTCACCATAAACCCTTGGGTTAAGTCCAGAGTGACTTCATAAGAGATTTATGGTGGTTGAAGTAGTGCTGTAGCAAGTTTATCTCTGGTTTTCCTCCAAAATCATTATTCCACTATTGCTCGATATCCATCTCTTACTACCCCCTGAGGTGTGTGATAGCCCTGAGCAGGCAGTACATTATCAGATCCTCATGTTTAAGTTGGGGGCTTCATCTCTGAGCTGGAACTTGGCTGGTTACAGAGTGATAAAGCAGAGTTCTTGACCTTTGTTAATAAGTACTACACTGACTGTGCGCTTGGTCACTGGGGTATTTGTCTCTGGACTGACAAGGGAATGGTCTGATCCGACATGTCGAAACCTGCCTTGATTTTTTTTTTTCACTGCAAGAGTGCACACAACAAAATCCACTGTCATAATTTTAGCTGCTAATATGCACTGCAAGTATTTTTTAAAAATTGCCGAAGTTGCTCATTTTTTCTGTATGCGGAACTGCTTGTATCAGAGGTTTGTACAACCCCAGCCTAAGCTGTGAGTCAGCCATGTTGTGTGTTGCGTACTGCTCTGCTAGAGGTGGACATTTCTACAAGGGTCTGGCAGGCTACAATATTGGCCATGTTCAGCAATTTTTAAAAAATACTTGCAGTGCGTATTAGCAGCTAAAATTGTGACAGTGGATTTTGTTGTGTGCACTCTTGCAGTGAAAAAAAAATCAAGGCAGGTTTCGACATGTCGGATCAGACCATTCCCTTGTGAGTAGCAAGAATAATGGACAATCTCTGAAACTCTAAATTGTCCCAAAGGTGTATTTTTGTGAAGCAGGGAATACTTGCAGTAAATGTGTTAATATGTCTATTTTGGTAGATGGCATGAATTTTATCAGGTTTTGAGAGTTGTCTTGAAATTACTATCTGGATTTTATCACTGTAGTTCCAGTAAGTGGGTACTGATGTTCGGAAGGAGCCTGCTGCATCAAATCTCAGGGTCAATTCTACCCTGAAGATGGAGACAGTAATTTCTCCTGAAATGGCACCCACCTACCAGAAGACTTTGGTATCATAACCTAGAACACTGAGATAAGAATCTTCTCTGCCACAACAATTTCAGATCTTATTAATAAAAATAGCTTGCTGGTTTTCTATATTCAATGTTCGCTGTGCTCATGGTATTGTTTTGTCTTCTGGTTCTTCTGTTTCTCCTCCTGCTTTATATATGTTTGTGATTTTTATCTTAGTGACTGCTTATTGAATATTTCGATGACTTTAAAATGAATTGACATCCTTGAGCAGAATCGTGCATCTGTGTTGCATCTAATAATTTGTGTGGTCTGTACAGCACTGTTAAAAAGGAATATGTGTGTATTAGTTTTGTGGTTTTGGCAGAATAATGAATGATGATGCAAGTAACAGAAAGTGGCAGTAAGCTGACAGCATGGGGGCCTAATCTGTGACTAATTTTACAGTGCTGTCAGTAGCTGGACTGTATAGCATTGAATTGTAGGATGATTGATGAATAATTGATTAGGAATGACTGGAATGAAGCAGCCATGACCTAGTTGAGCTACCATCATGGAATTTACTTGGAGGGACTGAATAAAACCATGAAAGAATTCGGGATAGCCAATGTCTTTGTCAAGATTTGAACCAAGCACCTGTCCCATACGAGCCTGAAGTGATACTGTCACACCAACGCACTCTGAAAATCAAATTGTTGCACAGTCGTGTTCAAATGAATGCACAACATGTATAGCTTGTTCTTATTTCTTGATGAAAGTACAGGATTGTGGTGTAATTATTTATGTGTTGTATGATTTCTGCTGAATTTGGTATGAAAATACAGCCATTTGAGGCTATGAACCTGTTCCTTGTTGTCAGTAATACCAATAAGGCTATCACGTAATGATTGTAGTCTCACAAGACTTGTAATGATCGCTACATGTAGTTAGTGTTCGTATAATTTTGGTGTTTGTACCTGTGACCACGTGTTACTTTTTCTTGACGATGCTGGTGTGAGCTGTAACTTGAAATGGACATCAGATATCTTGGCAGATGCCCTCCTCCTCCAAGCAAACAGTTTTGCCCTAACTACAGTTATTTCATATTGCGGCCAGTCCAGACACTAATTAATCTCACACTATATTACAGATTGGGAAACACTGTTCTTGTACATTTTTGTGCAGATCCCATCTGGGCTTGTCATTGCTCCAAATTTTACCAACTTCCACAGGCATCTGATTTCACAAGTCTGTACTCTGATGCTGGCGAACCATCTTGATATTTATGAGAGTTTTGTTGCATAAAATGTCCATTGTTTGTGCTGTATCTGACAAATGCTGGTGGCGTATGCCATCATATAGCAGTGGTATTTTGTGAACGACAAGTAAGAAATAGTGTGTGGAGCATCATTTGTGTGTGCAGTTTTATTCTTAGTAGAGTTTTGTATTTACCCAGTTGCAAGATACAGTGACCTTTTTGTGTGCATGTATGAGAGAGAGAGGAAGAGGAAGAGGCAGGTTTTCCTCTCAAAGTCAGGACGAATCGAGACATATTCATTCACTTCATGGTGACGCTGTGTGGAAATCTAGCTGCTATACAAGATGTTTCTGTGTAAAATTATTTCTTAAAAGTTTTGCACTGCTTTCTGCTATTAATATTGTCTGTTTTCTATAAGAATATATATTTTAAGCTGAATAAACTTTAATGCTGTACAGTAGTTTTGTATGTGTGCATGTGGACGCAAGCACTAATGCTGGGCCCATTGTGTTCCCCAGTTTTGTTAGTGCCCTTCACAGAGCCCTCACCATAGAGCCAGAGCCATCCTGGCTGAGGCTCTCCTGATATCTGTTGCCTCTGATCAAGCAGAACTAAAGATTTCTAGCCTGTGCCTAGCGATAGCGGAACATTGAAAAAGTTTGTGGTTGGAGGGTTCCTTTTCCTGTCCAGAGTTCCTTCATGTAGTGTTTTCTGAGGTAGGTGCCACCAGTTGTCACCAGTCCCTGTAATGACCCCTAGGAACATCATAACAGGATACCTTGTTGAACAGACAAGGTGTCCCTTCTGTAAGGTCACCTACTCAAGTTATGATATACCCTCAAAGATATTTTACTGACAGAATCGCTAAATAAACTAAAAATAAATAAAAATTTGTCCGTAATCACATACTTACTGCCTATAAGATTATTTCAACAAGCAGAAACTTCCTGAAAAGTTAGTCTGCTATTGCGTTTAAATAATACAAATCAGAAAGCAGCTATAGTAGTTGTAACTTACTCCATGCTTCATTTCTTCATAGATCTGCATATTTTCCTCAAAACGTTGCTTTCAACAATTAATTCTCATCCCTTGAAGAAGGAATTAAGTTTTAAAGCCGTATAGAACAGTTAATCATTTTGGACAGTATGTCGAATAAGAAGCAATTTAACAAGAGGTTCATGATATATTAAAATCCGAAGAAATCGTTGGATCCTCAGTTACCATAAAATCCATTTTAATATTATCTCATAATTGTATAAGTTGATCTTTTTCCCACTCCAAGTTTTGGCCACAGTTTTGTATACAATGATCTATTTTTTATGCGTGCTGCATATTCAGCTTATACCACTTCCATTGTTTCGTCTAAGCAGGACTGGCTGTGACAGTTCTGTCAGTAAGGTCAGTAACATAAGTTGTACTGGAGAACACAATTGGAGTTCGATCACCATTGGAGCAGGCATTTTCTCTTCTCCTCCATGACCATGCCGGATCAGAGGCCACCAAATGGGTACCGTGGGGTCCTCTTCCCTAGAGGCTTATCGCTTGCCTTCATGTAATTCGACATCTAGAATGACTGGATCATCACCTCCATGCCAGTATACACATCTAGAGAGTAAAACTTAAGGCGTTACTTTTATTTTTAATATTCCGGCCCAAAATCAAAGAATCACCAGATTGTATAACAGCCTTCATTATCTTATTAATTTATCTCGCTTGTGTCCAGAAATTCTCCTCGCTACTTTATTTCGAAATGACTGTGTTCTTCAGTCGGATTGAGAAACGAGGCTTTGTAACAAAACGAAAATCAGGCTACGTTATTGTTCTATATAAATAGAATTATAAAATCTGAAATTTAGCGACGCAGAATACTTCATGGTGTTTGATCTCGATCTTTGAATAAAGTATGTGAAGTAGGCCACGCCGTAGCTCAAGTGATTAGTCGCTGACTTCCCACCGCGGCGGTCCTGGTTCGATCCTGAGTCTGGTCAGGTGGGATTTGTGGTGCACAAAGTGTCGCTGGGACAGGTTTTCTCCGAGTACTTCGGTTTCCCCTGCCAATCTTCATTCCACCAATTGCTCCACAATCACCCTCACCTATCGTCGGGGGCTGGTACAATAGGCCAGAATTGGCCGCAGTACAAGGGACTTAGTCCCACCGCACTACCAATAAAAAAAATTATATGTGAAGTATTTTACATTAGGCACCACTGCATCTTTCGAATGAATTGAAATTGGCTCTCCTTTTACGTACGAGATCTCGTTCCCAAACGCCAGAGTGCCCGCAGTCGTGCAGCATGTAGCCGTCGCTATACCGACTGAGCTATCAATCCCGTTTATATTGCATTATTTTTGATCAAAGTTCAAAATTAATTCTGTTTTTGTTCATGTAGTTTAGTGGTACTCAGCATACGAGAACTTTGTGGTGTTGAGTATATATTATTTTATAAGCTGAATAATTTTGGTGTTTCTACAAAATTACTAGGAGCTGCGTACGACATTTACGAGAGATCGATCACCATCGATCCATCGATCATCATTCTAATTGATATCCAAAATGGCAGTGAGGTAACGAGTGCTTGTTGTCATAAATTTAAAACAGAACTCAGATCAGCACAAAAAATTATTGCACTGTTACAAGAAGAGATAAACACGCCCAATCGTACTGTAAGTACAGACTCGTGTTACTTCCACAGTTCAAAAAGAAGAAAAAAAAAAGACTCGAGTTCTTGTGTTCATGAATCTCCGCTGGAACATCTGGCGAACCTGACTTAGGTTTTTTCATGGTTTTTCACAGTGCCACCAGGCAAATGTTGATTGGACTTAGTATCCATAATAAGATGACAAGCACCAAGACTTTTGAATACATTATTTACTAATCCACCATTTGATACTATATAGTTCCCGCAACGAAGTGTGTTGTGAAATCATGAAAGGAAATGTGGTGCAGGAACAGTTTTGAATGTTATTAATAATCGGACATAACATTCAGCGCCAGAAGAGATACTGTCCAACATCAAGATTGAGCCCGATGACAGCGAACTGGAGCTACAGGTAGCCCTCAAGAAAGCACGGAGACTGAAGCTGCAGGAGGCTGTTACAGAATCAAAGAACAGTGTAGAAAAGGTACATCACATCGGCAGATGTTTGGCTGTACTAGGGGTCATTTCTCTTGTTCAGTCAAGGCCATCTTTCCCATATGTGCCCCTCTGCTTTTTCTCCCTAAGACAAGAGAGGAGCAGCCCTATGGATAGGTGGTGGGAGGTGATGAAATTGTCCCTAGCTACAGAATCCTGTGCCATGTTTAGTTCCCACACAGTTTCTCCATATGTTCCAGTTATAAAATGTTATACAGAAGTTTGTGGTAAAGTTCATTATGTTTCCTCCTTGGTTACTGTACAAAAACATTGTACAGTGGAGAAACTGTATTCTAATTTAACCTGAGGGCTATTAAATTGTTTCTCTCACAGTTTGTTGTGGTAGGCCTCAAACCAGTAAATCATATCTTCACATTTAAGTAATATCATCATCCTTTCTTACTGTGCTACAAACTGAAAGGTCATGGGTTCGATTCCTAGTTATGTAATTGGAGTTTTAGATTGACTGAATCCTTCCAGTCACACTATGACCCTGGTGTCAACTCAGCTGCTAACAGAAATGAGTACCAGGAATATTCTTGGGGGGCTAAAGGGCAGCTGGCATGTAAGGCTGGCAACCTCACTGCCATCTGTGAGCTTATTGTCGAGAAAGTATGGGAGTCTTGACGTCTCACACCCCTGTGGGCCTCCATGGCCTGTTACAGGGAGAGCTCTACCTTTTTATACTGTCATCCTTGTATTTTGATTATTGAGACCTGTTATGGCCTCCTGAGTGTCATGGAGCTGGCCACTCGCCTCCATCTAGAGCATAACTAATTAAGCATAGGGACAGCTTTGCATTAATGGACACTACAAAACAGAATGCTGTATAGCTACGTAATTTGACTGTTTGTGATTTGTGATGTTTGTAGGTGGCAGAGTCAGTACTGGAGAGAAGCTCAGAAGGAAACACGGAAGGCGGTTCCATTGTGCTGAATGCTACCGCAGAATTCTGCCATGCGTTGGGTGACATCCCCCTTTATGGTCTGGCTGGCAACGGATGAGGACGCTCAGGAACTAGTGAGAGCAATATAACCATCTGCAGATACACGTACACTTGGCAAGGCACTTTGATTTAGCATGTGTCAAGACTAGAACAGTCCATTGCCCATGTACAGTTATTTACTGCAGCTGCAACAGAATGAGAATATATTTTAATTACAGTTGAATTCCATGATAATGGATATATAAATTACTGAGCTGGATACATCCAACAGAAATCCTAGAAATGAAAGCACTCGTTATGCAGTAAGAATGTGATAGTTGAGATGGTAGAACATTTTTCTTCTTCTTCTTGACAAGTGGTACCTTCTGGAATAAAATGCTGTGTAATGTGATAAGGTCCATAAGCATTTGAAGGAATGTCAGTGGACTTACAGGATATGACTTCCCAGAAGATAGGGACTTTCTTAATCTCCTCTACAGGAATCTCAAATCCAGTCTTTTTTCCTATCTTTTATTTCTCTTTTCTCCCTCTGCCATGCGCATGATACAAGGGTAGAAAAGACGCTACTAGGAATTGTATGTGAAATTGAAATAGGGATGAATAAATAGCTCAGAACATGACTAAATCAAAAACCAATAGTTCTTGTAATTTTATTCATTGCAAAGTGAAGTGAATGTTAATTGTCACAGTATTCTCACTGCAAACTCAGAATTAGTTTGGGAGATGCACATTGCTTGGCAGAATGAGAGTCTGTTTCTAATAGATCTGTCACTTTAAAGCACACTATGATATTAAAAAGATATTTTGGCAAAGAAGTTTCAAGATGATCAGTATAGTCAGAAGAATTCTGTCTTCTGGGCTATCATCCAAATTTCCGAGGCAACATGTCACCTGAATCTTCAGGGTCAAAGAATAAATGAAACAGTAAGCCAGCATGAAGCAGGTAGGAAGCTTGGCTTTGTTACATGCCAGTGCTGGTTTCTTGCTTTATATTCTTCAACCCTGAAGATGGCGGCGACATATTTCTGACTTTCGACACACTACACGGCATTAAATCCCAGATGACAGAACTCTTCAAAACCACTGCTGTCAGAAACTCAAATCCTACGCAGTGGAGTCAGTACTTTACAATGCAGTAACGTTTTATACAGTGGTTGGTGCGTAAACAGTTCAGATTTCAGTCTATCTCAAGGTAATTTTGAATTGGTAATTTTTGGACTGCGCATTTGCGTTCTGCTAATCTCGTACAAAATTGACATTACAGGACTTTGAGAGGGAAATGATTGAAGAGAAGA